ATAAGAGGGAACACTTTACAGTATTTTGAGTCGTAACCCCTGTTGATTGTCGTCTTGATTCATGACCTGTCAAAGTTGTTTGATTTTTGTTAAGAATATCCTAAACGCAAGTTCCGGTCTTTTTGTTGTCTTAAATTGAGAACTCCGCGAAAAACTTCTATAATCTAATGGCAAGCAATAAAACTGACCAAGGCCCCAAGAGAAAATTCTGAAATATTTCAAGCATTGAATATTTATCTATAATCTTCGGAACATGATTTTCATAAAATGCCTGAAAACACTGCACGTAAAGAACACAACAATTTTACCCAACAGCAGAGTTTCAAGAAATTGAGCGTGAAGTACCGTAATCTTCATTTTCGTTCCAAGTGTCTATCATAGCTTTTAACCTGGCAAAACGTCAACTTAGATTACTGCACAGCAGTATGAACCTGCATGATACGAAAAAAATACTTCAAATTTCGTCTGAATGGTCTGCTCTAATACACTGAACCATCAATAATTTTGTTAATAGCTCCAGATTGTCTGCGATTTTAAGAAAACCTTTCGACAACTATTCTTACTGACAGAATGGCACAGAAAATGTGTTATTTCGTCGGATTTGCGCTTTGTAGGCTTTTCATATGAACCAAAGTCATGAAATTGGTCCACTTTATTTTCAGCCTGTATATTTTTCTTTATCGTCAATAATCAATCGAGCATTTGAAAGATCGAGTGAAAGTTGTGATATTTTTGTTGGTTGACAGCATTGGATTTCGAAGCAGACTTTGAGCTCTCATTAAAGTTTAATCTCACGTGTGCAGCACTGTTTCTCCATTATTAATTGGCTAATTTTTGAATGGCTTTTGATTCAAAAATTTATATTCGTCGTTATTTATTATTATCTCTCGTTAATATTAAAAAAGTTTCTAAGGGTCAACTCACAGCGTCGGGAGTCGTTGGGTCAGCTCTGCTCGCATTCAGTTGGTTATTTAGCGCAGTTCGCTCATTTTTGCGAGCATTGTGGTAATCTGAACGAGCTTTGTTCACTTTGTTGTACAGCTTCTCCCAAGGTTTCTGTTCTTTCCGAAAACGATCGTCCATCTCCTTTTTCTCCTTCAATTGCATCATCGACTGCATAATCATAACAAGTCAGCATTCGTGAAAATCTCGCGTCAGCAATCTGCATGTTTGTGTGGACATCTATTTGTTTTACAGCGGATGGTTTCCTCAGCAAGAAGCATAGTTGATGCAAGGTTAAATTTAGCCTGTTAGAAATCTTGAAAGTACCCTATTTATTCGAGTAAAAATAGTACCATGCGCACCTTTTTTTCTCAAAATTTAGACGACGTATCATAAAAAGCGGGTATAATTTTTTCAAAACGTTTCTGATGTTTAGGTATGCATTATATTACTTTCTAATGGGAAATTTAAATCAATTTTATCAGAGAACGCTTTTTAAAGGAAACAATTGAAAATTGGTTGAATTCTGGTAAAATTCTTGTTTAAATTCATATTTGCGTGATATTATTTTCAAAATATTTAAATTTTAGAGTCACTAAAGATGGGATGTGCGTTCAACTCGGGGATGCAATTATATAAAAAATTTTGACTGAAACCCCTGGTGCCCGTTCTTACTCGAGGGCGCGTGGTGCTCGAGTAAACACGGGTACTGGGTAATCTAAAATATTTGCTCATCCTGGGTTCGTATTTTTTATTTTATTTTATACATGAAAAACAGGGCTCCAAGAAGAAAAGTCACAGGGGATGTTTTCTGTTTACATTTGACGTATATAACCTCAATACGAGGGGTTACACGGTTCCGCCCGGAGCAGCTCGTGGCTGTTGTTCTGCTGGACAATCTTCAAAATTCCAACTGAACATTTCAAGGCCTGTTTCAACACATGGATAAAAAGAGCTGAGAAGTATGTACAAATTGGTGGTGATTACATTGAAAAGGTGTCTGTCTAGCCTTTTTGAAACTAGTGAACATGAGAAAAATGTTTTCTTTTTAATTCCCTGGTGTTCAGATTGTTTCAAGTCCGCGCCGAAACGAGTCCGCGCGGAAACGTGTAACCCCTCGTAGAGGGGACATTTGTAACTGACATGATCTAAGAAGGATATTTTGGATAATTTACAGTATTTAGAAAAAGAAAGGACCTTGTGGTAATTGTCCTTTTGCCAGTTACGCATTTTCGGGCACAACTCTTCTAGAATTCTTTCGCGAACGCACAAGTGCAGGTCAGCGAGTCGGTTGGCTTCTCCGCTGGTGCCCTTCAAGGCTTCTTTCGTCGTTCCGTATTCCAAACCTGAAAAAGAAAAATACAAAATAAACCTATTCACTCATTATTGTTCAACATTTTCGGAATTCATTATAGAAAACCTTGATATTTGAGCTTCGATGTTTTANGTCAACTCACAGCGTCGGGAGTCGTTGGGTCAGCTCTGCTCGCATTCAGTTGGTTATTTAGCGCAGTTCGCTCATTTTTGCGAGCATTGTGGTAATCTGAACGAGCTTTGTTCACTTTGTTGTACAGCTTCTCCCAAGGTTTCTGTTCTTTCCGGAAACGATCGTCCATCTCCTTTTTCTCCTTCAATTGCATCATCGACTGCATAATCATAAAAATGTCAGCATTCGTTCGCGCCAGCAATCTGCATGTTTGTGTGGACATCTATTTTTCACAGCTGATAGTTTCCTTCAAGAAGCAAGGCTAAATGCAGCCTGTTGGAAATCTTGAAAGTACCGTATTTACTCGAGTATAAACAGAACCATGCGCACCTTTTTTTCTCTCAAAATTTCGAGGAAAAAGGGCCGGGCGCATAGTAAAAAGCGGGTATAATTTTTTCAAAACGTTTTTGATATTTAGGTATGCATTATGTTTCTTTCTAATGGGAAATTTAAAGCAATTTTATCAGAAAACGCACTTTAAAGGAAACAATTGGAAATTGGTTGAATTCTGGTAAAATTCTTGTTTAAATTCATATTTGCGTGATATTATTTTCAAAATATTTAAATGTTAGAGTCACTAAAGATGGGGTGCGCGTTTAAGTCGGGGATGCAATTACATAAAAAATTCTGACTGAAAACCCTGGTGCCCGTTCTTACTCGAGGGCGCGTGGTGCTCGAGTAAACACGGGTACTGGGTAATCTAAAATATTTGCTCATCCTGGGTTCGTATTTTTTATTTTATTTTATACATGAAAAACAGGGCTCCAAGAAGAAAAGTCACAGGGGATGTTTTCTGTTTACATTTGACGTATATAACCTCAATACGAGGGGTTACACGGTTCCGCCCGGAGCAGCTTGTGGCTGCTGTTCTGCTGCGGACAAGCTACAAAATTCAACTGAGCATTGCAAGGCCTGTTCCAACACATGGATCAAAAGGGCTGAGAAGTGTGTAAAAATTGGTGGTGATTACATTGAAAAGGTGTCTGTCTAGCCTTTTTGAAACTAGTGAACATGAGAAAAATGGTTTTTTTTTTTTTTATTCCCTGGTGTTCAGATCGTTTCAAGTCCGCGCCGAAACGAGTCCGCGCGGAAAGGTGTAACCCCTCGTAGAGAACCTCATTTGTAACTGACATGATCTAAGAAGGATATTTTGGATAATTTACAGTATTTAGAAAAAGAAAGGACCTTGTGGTAATTGTCCTTTTGCCAGTTACGCATTTTCGGGCACAACTCTTCTAGAATTCTTTCGCGAACGCACAAGTGCAGGTCAGCGAGTCGGTTGGCTTCTCCGCTGGTGCCCTTCAAGGCTTCTTTCGTCGTTCCGTATTCCAAACCTGAAAAAGAAAAATACAAAATAAACCTATTCACTCATTATTGTTCAACATTTTCGGAATTCATTATAGAAAACCTTGATATTTGAGCTTCGATGTTTTAAAGTGCACACAGAGTTGCCAAGCAACGATGTGTCAGTGACCTGAATTTGGATTGTTATCAAGATTCAAAAAATTCCAGAAGCACATCCCTGACGAATTTATTATCTGGCGAAAATGTACCTTGGTGAGTTTCAAATGATGATTCAAAAACTGAGTTTTAATCTGGTGTTTTTTTAAATACTGTATAAATTTTAGTAAGCCATGCATGTGGATAAGAAAACGCTTGTATTCCTGGAGTGGTATTAAGATTCAATTCGTGTATCTCCAGGTTTGTGTTCTTGTGCCTATTTATTTTTCTTGCTTTTCGTTTTATACAGCAGGTTTTGGCCAAGGTAAACAGGAAGGGATGCTGCTGAGGGACAGAGGCTTATTGCGCAATTTTCCTTTGGCAGCAGAAATTTGAGAGGGTTGCTGGGGAAAATCGGAAAATTCGGTGCTCGCGCAATTCTGGTTTCTGTTCTTGTTTTTTGATATATATATATGTGCGCATGTCAAAGAAGAGAAAAAAAGTGGGAAAGGAACGCGCGCCAGTTTTTGCAAGCCCCCGAGAGCTTCGAGGTTCGTCATTCCGTTTTTTGACCCTGTACATCAAGTAAGAAGGGGAATTTTTAGTGATTTTACCTGAAATACTTCACTACATATACCATACAGCCAAAATGAACAAAGTGAATAGAAGGACTGCAAAGGCAAATAATTCTTCATTTTCACATACTTAACATGATTCTGCACTTCCTTTTAAAATGGGAAATTGACAAATTCCAACATCAGGGATACGTGTAATACGCGGTGGGTTTTCAAAATGCCACTGATGAGTTACTCATTATACTGTAGTACCTGATGAGCTGTCTTTAAAAGCAGATTCAACACACTTTTTTCTGTGATTCCTATTATTCCTGAGGAACATTCAAATCGTCTTTGAAATACGACTCGAAAAAATAGCCACGCATCTGAGAAGACATTAGCTCTTCAGCCAGTATTAAGCAGCGATCATTTTACTATCTGATTCGACAACTCCCTTTTTTTGGATTACCAGATTAACACGAAGTAATTAATACAAATAAACTGAAGAATAGTTGGTAGACCGGACTTTTGTTCAAATTCGACATTAAACCAATCGAGAAACGGCTTTTAAATTATTTTCCAATCAGAGCATTTACTGCCGATGCCCTTTTTTTGTGCAGGTGGGGTTATTTTACGCTTTTCTGCGTCAATGGCAGATGTGCACATGCCAAAAAAGATAACGCATGATACATCCCTGATATCTAGACATCGATTTTTTTGCTTAAGATGAAAACCCTTCGCTGAAAATGCTAGAAAATTTAGAAGTGTCCTGGGTTTCTTTATATTGTTAATTCCGAGGATTTTCGAGAAATCCCGCGTAATTTTTTTCATAAATTTGGTGAGCTAAATTGTATTCCTTGGAAGATTAAAGGGGAGTTTACTTAGAAGATTTAAGTGTGTTTGACTTTTAATCCATCTAGACATACACTTTGTGCATTGAGGTCTCAAAACTTTCAGTTATAAAAAAATCTCATTTTATGTCATATCTGTCAAACCTCAAAGAGAAATTTCCCGGAAAGAAAATTTTTTGCTTTTATTGTACTGAAAAATTTTCTGCGATTTTCACATTTGTTGACATTTTTGAGAAAGTGTCTCAAAATTATGCAAAAGCCCTGCATTCTTGGCAGGCCGGTTCAATGATTTCTGTCATATCTTTGGTCAGTGTATATTCTTGAAATGAAACTAAATTATTTCACAAGACATTGTTAAATTCATTAAACTATTTAATTATCAGGCTCGATTCTGCAAACAGCACAAAATTGTGAAGGAATCTTTTTGAAGCAGACTTACCACGGTCGAAGTGGTCCTCCCACTTCTTACTCCAACTGCGCAAACTTTTGGCGTAGTTCTTTTCCAGTTCAGCTCGTTCCTGAAGCAGGGTAACATAGTCCGAACATAGTTTGTTGCCATCTTCAATTGCGAAGCAGCAGGTGAACTTTAACGGTCCAAGGGTTTTGCTTGAACTCGGCCGCTAGCTGTCACACAGACAGCTGGGCCGTAGCAGTGACACGTGGCTGTAGCGCTGCGAAAGTGTAATGCGAGTAAACTCAATCTGCCAAACTAAAAATTGAGTAACACCTTCACGATGTGATGTTGGTATCCATCGTATCAATTGAATGGCATTTTTTCAAGTTTTTTATAACGACTTGACACATGAACGTCCCGGATTTTTCAATTGGACGCGACTTTCTCGTGCGAGGAAAATGGTCTTACTAATTTCCGCATTATTCCCAAATCGCCAATTAATTATTTGAACGCCCACTTTTGGAGAGGGAATCTAACCCCAAAAAAGTCAAGATTTTCGCATTTTTGACACAAATTTTGCGTTTCAAAAGTATGCAAAAGCTCATTATAGCCGTATTTAATCCTTTGATTTAAGCCTCGCAGATTTCTATCTTTTGGTCAGTGTGCGTTCTAGAAAAACTCAAGCATGAAAAAAAAAACAATGAAAAAACGTGAACATGCGAGTCTTTTTCAATTCCTGAAAGATTTTATTCAATTTCTACCCATACTTGTTCACTGACTTGTATTTAAAGACAATGTACAGGTATTGTTACTTTCGTCATCAAAGAAGAACAATTTTCTAACAGTAAAAATGTCTTCGACTTCATCATTTCTTTCCGAACTCGGAAATGGGACATTTTCAGGAATTTTTTTCGCGGCTTGAAATATTGAATAGAACTTCAAATTATTTTTAATGAATAAAACACCCTTTCCCAAAAAAGAATTCCACGATGAACATGTAGAAAAAAGACAGACACAACGAATTTACATTTTCAAAGCTTTCCAATAAACCCCATGAAATTCGCGTTAATTAAAGGTTCGAAGATGATTTTAGGAAACAGATTTTAAAGCTTCAGCTCACGACAATAACAAGACACGGAAAAATGTTCGAAGAAAAAAGGCAATAGCTGTACGCGTTTTTCTCATTTTATTTTCCTTCAGCATCCATCAACCGTATTCAAATTTAGGCTTTTTTAAATTTTAACTTTAAGATCTGATTTATAAGCTCCGCATGATGCACCGAAGTTCTTTGGGCCTTCAGCATTTTTAATACTTAGTTGTGGGCGTGTTATTAAGTCTACGTGTGGTAATAATAACTCACGTACACTGCAAATTCAAAAACGTCGCAGGAAAAAAGGACGACACTGCTTTTCCCTTGGGTAAACATAACTATAAACAGGAGATCACCATCCTTATACTGCGATGCATCTGCTTTATTGTTCGATCATCCTTTGTTTCATTCATTTGATCGTTAAATCTTTCTTTTTGGACGACGTGGGCTCTTAAGACTGCGCTTATTGAAGCAAAGGTTGAGGATGTTTGGTGCTAACTTAGTAGCTCAGTAGCGTGGCAGTGCTACAGCCATGAAGAACGCATGAACGTCTCGTGTTCTAACTTTGCTTTTTCTTACTTCGAGGGAAAGACAGGTAGATTCCGAAAGCACTGCGAAAGCGAATTCTCTCAGCTCAGTGTGGATCATTCTGAATAAACAAATAGGTTCTACTTCTATATCGATCTAAAAAAAAAAAGAGATTAAAATTCATTGTCCAAGAAGCTGGATGCTGATAATAAGTGGTCTCTGAAATATTTTGAAAATCAAATAAGCAAGTTCCCTACAACAGACTCAAGAGACAAAGGTGCAAAACTTACATGAGGTAAATTCTTGCTTCTTATTTAGGATAACATTTATCTAGACAACAACGGATCCTGTATTCTGAAAAGATAAGAAGGAACCGGAAGAATAAAAAAATATGCGGCAATTTCCATTCCAGGCCAAGGTTACAATCGTTCTTTTTCTGATTTTATGAAAACTGGCTGAAGCTCAGACTGTCTATTCCTGACTGAAGCTCAGAAAATAGAAACATCAAAGAGTAAAGCACGCTTTGTAAAATAAATGAAAAGTAACCAATTGAATTTAAACAAAATCAATGACGTGGGCATCAGAACGCTGCTGTACATACGTATTATCAAATACACTTGCATTATCGAAAAATTCTCTTTATTCACAGGATTTAATCTAGATTTTTGAACGATTATGTTCCAAGTTTTAACAAAGCCGAATGCCGGAAAACTCGTGAATTCCATTATTAAAACTCAATTATATTTGCGTCTCTCACGTCATCACCAGCAGATTTTTCCAAGATTTTAGCTTCAAGTATCGAACAGTTCTAATACTGGTCGGAGAGACTTTAAAATATTTATCATGAGAACAAAAATATATCAAATAACTTTTCTTTTGACTAAGCTTCTGATTGATTCAATTTCATCCAATCGAGGAATTAAAAAATGGTATGAAACGCTGAGCGAATGAGAAATTTCTTTTTGCAAGCGTAAGTAAATTTTACCCATGAAATTATCAGTACTGTATACTATTAGGACTGTAAAGAAGCAATATGTATAAAAATTAACATTTTGCTTGATAAGGCTCCAGATTGATTCAGCTTCACCCACAAGAATAAAATTGGGAAATTTCACAGATGAAAAAGGTATGAGAGAAAAATATATTTAAATCAGCTACGTGTACAAATTAAAGGTTTTTTTCTGCAATTGAACTTGCTGTAAAAATCAGAAGTTGGATAACTTCTTGTTCATATTAGGCTCCGAATTGAATTGATTCACTCACACCAAAGCATAAAATAAACCTAAAATCCCGCAACTGAACTGGCAGAGGGTGTGGCAGTAAATAATTATAAACGTAAGTACTCGTATATATACAGGTACTGCTGCTGCCTCCTCTCGAGTATTTATTTTATTTTATATGTTTCATCTCCATTTTCATTTCGGGCTGTTTTTAATACCCTACAATAACAACGGAACACCTGCAGTGGTAACTAAAGGGTCTCTCCTGCAGGCCCCAGTACACTGCGCACACCTGCGTAAAATACGTGCGTCGCTATGGTTTAAGATTTACACAACGTAGTGCGCGAGCAGAGTTTCTGGTGTGCGGCTCCAAATATATTTCCAAATTTTTTAAAAACAACTATACGCTTTTGCTTTCCGCTTTCCGACTCTGGTTACGACAACCTTGAGTCATCTGGAGCTGAAAAGGCAATGGCGCTGAGGAATTCTGGGAATTGTTTTGCTATTTCATTGAGGAGCTTTCGTCGCCTGGCACAGAGTTCAAGGTCTTCGAGAAAACTGCAGTCGTGTGAGCAGTGAAATGCTTTTCTTTAAGACTAAGATAGGTCAAAAATTCACGGAAAGGTAAAAGAAAAATACTTTTTGCGTGCTTGCGATTAAATTTCTCGGTTTTCATCAGAGACTAAATTATTTGAATTTAAGCTAAACTAGCGAGGAAATTATCGACACTCATCAGAAACGCTCCTCATTGAGTCAAACGGTTCAAAAAATTATCCAGAAATGTCTTCCAAGCTTCTGGCTGCTGCCTTGCAATTCTGAACATGAATGAGAAACACAGCTATTCGGAAAGAAAACACACTGGGTCGTAAAAGATTCACGAGTGTCGCACGCACACGTCATGAAACGTGACGTGTGCGTGTGCACATACGCGAAGCAGTGATGGACGAGATGATGCGTAGGCAAACAGATTCGCTATCGCTTCCGCATGGGACATTCTTTGCAAGGTATAGCTACCAAAAAAAAAAGGAATTTTAATAAGGTTGTGGTCTGAAAAACAATCAGCGTGGAAATACTTAAAGCCAGTTTTTGCAGATGGAAGAGCCAAAATTTGACATACCCGAATCGCGAGTGAACAATCTAAAATACCATCAATAGCAGGCAAAATCGGTCAAGAAATCACGGTTTTGTGGAGACCATCATACTTTTTAAAATCAACGTCTTCAGTCCAGCGAAAGTGAAGCTTTGCACTAGCATCGAATGAAAAAAAATTAATGCTTAAAATCATCAAGATCGAACTTGAAACCTTTCACCTTAAGGTCAAAGTAAAACTTTAAAAAACTGAAAATTCTTCAAAATTTTTTCTATTACTTGCTTGGAATAGGATGTTTTTATTGAACATTTCAATCACTCGGACTTATTGAAATTTATATATAATTTGAATGACTCCCTCAGACCCTCAGCGACACTCGACTCTATTCATCATTTGATGCTCATCCTGAGGTTAGATCTTGAACAACTCACTCATTAAAAATATATTGTACCAGAAAAGTATAATACGAAGGAATAGGTATTTCAGGCAGTAAATTAAAAAGAAAATAAGCACCCCATTATCTTCGATTGATAATTTCCACGAAATTAAGGTTTCTCAGGCATGCAATAAGCCATGATAGTAAGCGGCAAAAATTTGATTTTTCTCAATTCACCAGAAAATTCGTTGCTGTTTTCTATCGAAAGACGACTTGAAATAGTTAGATAAGATTTTCAGAATTCCGAGATAACAAATTTATCGACAATCATCCTTGAGCTATTTTGATAAGATGATCTGAGAACGACTGCTCCATCCGCAACCAAGTTCAAAAATTCTGTCATCTATTTATATTCTCACACAAGGAATCTTGAAAATGTCATACCTATCAAATAATAAATTGTATTAAAAAACCATCCCCAGCGTATAGTACTGTACTGGTATATTCTGACAGGGTTTTAAAATATCTCCATCGCAATGAGCGAAGTTTTTCGTGTCCAGAGACGGCTCAGGAAAGCGAAGTTTCGAACTCATTACAGTACCTTTGAAGTACGGAAATGTTGAGAGAATGCCAGCGGAATAATTACGGACCAAAATTTAAAGTTATAATAGCAAATAAAAGTCATTTTAATAAACAGTAGAACAATGCATCAGTGAGGCAAAGATTATCTCTCATCGGCTCCCATATCAACAACAAGCTACAAGATTTGTGAATATATCTTGGAGAAAGGGGCTGGATATTATTAATTATGAAAGAAATGATGGCACAGTGCTCAAATTTTCCCGTGGACAATCAGAATTAGGTCATGTGAGCAATTCGTTGGCTTGGATTAATTGGAAATTGGTCAATTCCGGAGGCAGAGAAATATTCCTCAAGTTATTCCTTATATTGGAGAGCATATGTCCGAATTTGAACTCAAATAAAATAAAATTACATTACGATTTTCTCGACTTCTGCAAGCACGCACTATTCTCCACATGAATAATCTTCTCCTTATCGCATGAAAGCAGCTAACTGCGTATAAAAGTAATTTTAATTAACAAAGAGATGTTTGTTTTGTCTTGGAATCCTGGGATTTAGTGGGAGGTTATCTTTTCTAAAAATATAGCAGCTCTTTCGTGAGTTTCCCATCGTTCAGCAGCAGACCACAAATGAGACCATTTTGCAAGTTTTTTTTTCTGTTTACCTGTTCTGCACTGTATATTTGTACATGCGGGAAGCACAAACTTGATATGGAATTTGCACATTTTTTCAGGATTTGGAAAAGAGAAATGCAGGGTCAGACTACGAACACCTCGTCCAAGGATTTAACTACTGTAATATTAAAGCTCCCCTAAGTTGATATTTCGAAACTATTCGTTAAATTTATGTTTGGCTGTCGAAATGCTTCATCCATTACGATGTAAGAAGTGTTTTCTTAAGAAAATTTTTCACAAGGTACCTGAGTCTTGCGGTGGGAAGACATTTCGTTTGTAAAAAAAAAAGATAGATTCAAGAAAAATGTGCCCTTCCGTCTGTATAATTTAACCTTATATAAATTACGAAAGAGGATTAAAATATTCAAGGGTAAAACCCGCAAGAAGTCAACATCATAGTCTTGCATGCTTTTTCATCATTCAAACCACTACGGGGTTGTACGTTATGCAAATCGAATTCCCGCTTTCAAATCAGTAATTTATTCACTTACATTGAAAATTTTTTGGAGTTACACATCATTGCTACTTTCATTGAAGAACCAGGAATTCCTCATGCAATTTTCCAAATATATTAAAACGATTAATTTTTTCAGAAAATGCGAAGACACAAAAATATATCGTCGCTGACACTTTTCGGAATTGAAGGACGAATTTTAAATGACGTATTGTGCCGAGTAAAACACGTACGGAATTTACTAATGCATCAGCAGTTGACCTACTGAACTCATCAAGTCCTAACAGAGCTCAACCCAGCACTTGACATTTTCTCGACTTGAGCAAACAGGCCATGAAACTTACGAATCATCTTTCTGACAATGCCTGTCTTTGACAATATAGAGTTTATCTACCATCGTTTTTTTTCATACATAATGTGACTTATTTTTTGAAGCCCTTGCACATTTCTTTGGCACCGATTATGGTTTATGAAAACCGTCGTGCAACAATGAGCCTTCATAATTATAATTCATTTTGGATAGCGGTGAGCAATCAGATTGAAGAAATTATTTTCGTTATGCACAAAAGCGTGCGAACAGTTCAAGGGCGCCATAAAAAATGCTTTAAAAAAACTGACATGAAAAAGGAAGACAATGCCATTTTTCACGAGTATAAAATGTAAATGTCCTCATTATTGTCTCCAATCAATTTCACACAGATCGGGTAAACAAACTTTTTAAAAAAATGACTCGGTAAAAATGTACCACCTGGAAATCAATGGAATTTACACTTAAATACATTTTGTAGCAAAACCAGAAGGTGATTAAGTAACACTATGTCTAAGCTGGGATTATTTTTGAGTCAACCCTGAAAAGTAATGCTGAGGCTTGTTTTGAATCATTATAATACCTCGCATCCGTGAGCTATTGGAAATAAAATAAAATATTATTCACGGGAACTGTAATATTCCTCTCTGCATTATGTTTCCATGCATTATCTTCGCAATACTTATTTTTCCTGATCCTCCCAATATTTTTAGATGTATCCACTCATAGCATTTTAAACAGAATACAGCTTATTCTTGACGTTTGAAATACAGTATTTCTATTCTGTAAGTTTGTCATCATTATTTTTCACTTCACCTTTGTTGAAAGGTAAAAAGCACTTGGCATGAGATACCGGGTATTGCTAACAATATGTCTGGATGGAATGACGGAAAATTTTTAAATTTTCTGGATTTTGGGATCCATTGTCGAAGGAATATTTCAGGCAAGAGTCCCATTTATTTTGCATTCATGAAAAAAACATCAGCACGACACCTTTGATTAGAAAAAATCCGAATTCGGTGGAAGGGGTGGGAAGATGTAGACATATACTGTACGAGGAATCGCTGTGAAATAAAATACCCAGAATACTCCGGAATCCTCACAACAAACAACGCAGCAAATCACATCACGAATACGGGTGTATCACCAACACGGGTATATTTGAATATGTGGGACGCATAAAGACCACCAGTTCTAAGGCACAGAAAACGACGCTACCATCATGCACTGCTGGCTTGTTAGAAGTCTCAAAATGCAGTTCTGCACACTGTGACACATTGAGATGAACAGAGGGGACCAGTGCCCGCGTAAGGCAGGTGCAGTGGGTTCACCACACACGGGTGCCCAAGCAAGGGTGGCGTCGAAATTTGGTTTGAAAATTGTTACAGTCATCAAGATACTGTGAAGTACAGATGAAGCGAAGGTACAGAAGCCAAAGGGTTCATTGGGACAGGGAACAATAAGCAAACAAACTGGAAGGTATATACAGTATTACATTTTCAAAACTGATTTAACCTCTTCCCACTGAAAGTCTTATCATAATTCCCAAGGTGTGGACATACTTGGCGTTTGGACCTTGTCTCTAAGTCAGATTTTTCTGCATGTTGGATCACATTTTCCCAGAGAATTCAATGCAAACAAATAGTATTGAACTGGTTTTCTTGTTACTTGAAAAATTAAGAGTAAAATCCCCAGGAAATTTAAAAAATTGATTCATCAACTTTAAGGAACAGAAAACAACTGTGCAGAAGAAAGCCACGCAGAATCTGATATTATTTGGCATCAAAATGAGTTCAAAAATCACAGAGCAAGAATAATTCTTGCTATACGGTGCGCAGATGATATGATAGAAAACACTGGGAAAAGCACAAAATCAGCCCTGTTATGGATTATGATTTATGCATAGATGATTAATAATCAATGTACAGTATTTCCAATTTTTGTTAATATAAATATAGCTACATTTGTTCATGATGTACAGGTGAACACACTCTATCTCTCTCCCTCAAACAAATCTCAAGGGACCAGAAAAAGTTTGCTGCAGTGCAAATTTCTTTTTAGAGAACTCCTAAAACTTGAGGAGGAAATATTATGGGACCACAAAAATCATCGTATACAGAGAAAATTGTTACACCTGTGACCTGTATCAAAATTGAAAAATACACTTCTTCAAATTTTCTGGAAGAAGGGTCCTTAACTCGTGCCATTGTCTGGATGTTAATGCACTTTTTTTTTCTCAAGTGTCCCAATTTAATCGTCCGCATGTCGGGAACTTGTCACTGTATATGAATTGTCACACCGTTCATCAGGGATTAATCGGGAAAACCACCTCTGGTCTCTAAATTTGGGACTAAGACAGGAACAGCGAAAAATGCCAGCCCCCTCGGCAGAGAAGAGGATATTCAGCACTGAAGTCAGAAACTCACGGTGAGATAACAGGGAATGACAAAGCTGGCGTCAATCGCTGCATTGTTCATTGACCCAAGACTCTCCCGCTTTTGCAGCGCGGGAACCGGAATGCCGGGAGTGAAGATAACTTGAAATTCCGGGGCTTCCTTGCATAGGATGCGGTTGTGAGACCATAGGTATATATACATACTGGATTCATCCTAGCATAATTCGGGATTGGAGTGAACCATGTCAACGAGAGCTTCCGTTATTGAATGGAATTCCGGCAGCACCTGCTCGCTTATAATTGCACCTTTTATAATGACCTCTCACTTATAAGCCATCCTGATAGGTGCTGCTGTGAATCATACTTATAGGTAATGCACAACAGGATTCCTCCACCCCTGGTCCGCGGACCGACGTCAGTCAGCACAAGTTTTTTGGCAGTCAGCAAGGGTTTTCTACAGCATAATAAATGTATCAAAAGTAGCAATGCAATTGATGTTGGATTTTCCCCTAGAATAACACTTCAAGCTAATGTTCACCTGATGCAATAAATTATTTACTTTTTTATTTTGAGAAACCTTTCTTCAAGTACACCGACTTTTTGGAAGACATATAGCTGCTTCAACAATTCTTGACTTAAATTTTGCAAAAAAAGCGAGACATTTTTCAAATACCTGCCATAAGGATTTTCAAGCAAAGCTTTTTTGAGTCTACAGCAATTTTATAATTTATTTCGTGGAATAAATTGAGTTCTATGTCACAAAAAAACCAGGTTTTGTGTCTCAAGCAGGGATTAATTTTTCTCAAAGAAAAAAAAAGTACATCCTCTTGTCTTGCTAACAAGTGCATGAACTATGTACATCACGAGGGTACATACTGCTTTTATGCTGAAGTTCAGAAATGAGGCAAAAAATAAAGGTTGTACATTGCACAAGTGGTCTTGAGGTTCAAACTGGAATTTCCTCCAGCCTCAGGTCCATTCCCATGGAAAAGTTCATGAAGGTTGATGAGGATTCACCAGTGTTTGTACTTCTGAGTTAGCCATTCCATAAGGGTGATTTAGATTCTGTTGGTCCTTGTGGAATATTCCATGAGGGGCTTCATCATAATTAATATTTTGTTTCATAAGTCCAATGTTATGTTATCCTGTCTATGCTTCTAATGAACAATGGCAAATCCAAGTTTTCCCCAAATTCTGTTTTCCTTTTTTCTTCTTCTCTTGTTACATAGTACCAACTGTTGGAAATAATTGCAGGTCTCTAAAAAGATGCTGGCCTCCATTAAATGCCTGGGGAAAAAAATAAAAATAAACACCAGGCCACTTATTGGAGCATATACAGTATGCATTTCATTCATGGGGGTATACTAGCATCACAAATGTAACAGAAGATACATTTGCACTCAAATTTAGCTTACAATAATAAAATTTAGTCAAAAGAATGCCATAAAAATTGTTTTCCAATGTATAGAAGGCTTTTCTTATTGGTAAAAAAAATGAAGATAGTAGCTGCTGTGAGTCCCATTTTGGGATCAAGTTTAAAATTCAAATATTTGACAAAGATTTGAATTTAAAATTTTTAAAAATGTCTCCAGCCTATCTAAATGTAAATGAAGTGAAATGATGCAATAATGGGTGTGTAGGAAATTAGGCAGTTGATGTGTTGAAACAATCTTTAGTTAAAAAAACTTCTCAACATAAGTTTCTCAGAATAAAAAAAAATTAGAAGCAAAACAATGCAAGAACTCAAGCCTTCACAAAACACAACCAATTTGGTTGAACTCAAGAAAAAATTGAATAGTAAAAAAACTTCGACACAAGTTTCTCAGAATTAAAAAAAAAAAGTTAGAAGCCGAACAATGCAAGAACACACGCCATCACAAGAAACAACCCATACGTCTAACTAAAAACAAAATCGAAAGAAACGAGCGAACGTTATAGAAGGAAAAAAAATTCCTGAGACATTCGGATTCGAAAGCTCCCACAGGAACAATGTTGTATTTCAAATGAGTTTCAGATTTTATTGGTCAATGGGTGAGAATTGGGAACGTTTACAAAAATGAAAATCTCTCCAGCACTTGGTGAAAAATATTACTGTACCACCACTGAGCCATGATGCTCGGAACAGATAATCCGTGGTGCATCTGATGTCAGATAATCTGTGGATGTTGATTCCTGATCAACAAAAACACTACGCTGAAGAAATAACGAAATATAACCTGAGCAGATATCGCAGGCAGCAAAAACCGGGAGAACAAATCAGATGGTTTCATGAATGATGCCAAAATACACGAGTTCTTCCTCATACTGCAATGGATCAGGCGTGTCAAACTTAATAACTACGACCACTTTCAGTACAGAAGGTAGACATGATCACAGATTATAATCCTCGACGATCATTCACAGCTCGCAACAAATCCCGACAAGGCTTTCTTCACTTCCAGGAAGCATGATTCGTCCGATATTACACGATTCTTGCCGAACACGCCAACAAAGACCTTCTGTAGATGTTTGCGGGCTGGAACAGCAGTAAACTGATTACAACAACGAACAATAAATGGTATCAAGTCAAATTAGATCCGAAGTTCATCACTGAAATCCAGAAGTCGAGATGAAAAAAAAAATTGTGACGCTAACGAATTTTCAAAATTTTCAAAATTGGGAAATTTATGAGATAAAAAAAAAGTTATACAGTACTGTACACTCAACTTCGAGCAAAGGTGTTTTTTTCCTTTTCAGTGCATTCGGCATAGAATTATATTCTTCAATATCGAAGCATGGAACAGCATTCCATTCCTTCTTTTTTTTCAAAAATACGGTACTCAAAAGATTTTCCCAAATTCCTTCTTTTTTCGAAAATACTCGCGGCAATTATTGAAAAATGAACCAATTTAAAACGGTTCGGTCAGATAAAAAGACGAAGCTTGTTTTTCCCTATCCTTGAAATGCTTTCAACAGTTTTTAGTGCATACTTGGTATTTTGTTGATGTTCCGAAATTCGTGGCAAACGGCTTGGTTCAGGCGCTTGAAAATATCTCGACTTCCAATTTTTCCGGAGCTCATAAAGGGCATTAATTCTTTCGTCACCATAACAGCGATTTCTCGCTTCATTTGCATACGATCACGATGACCATCCAAGAAGGTAGCTTTTGATTCTGAAGAACGTCGCCGTTTTTCGTCATGAACGGGTTTTTTCCTGCGAGGCTTTGCATCGTCTTTAGGTGGCGATGGGGAAACCCGATGGGTAGAATTTTGGAGATCATTTTCGTTTTCATCCCGTGAACTGGTGAAGTACAAAAAAGCCAACATCAAAAGCAGAAAAATCAAAATAAATAGTGATTATCATTACCCAGAGCGTGTTTCAGTTTTTGGATTCGACTCGACTTCAACTTCCGACAGTATAGTTAAGGCAGAAGCCGGCTCATCACACAGCATTTCTTCCCGCTCAACGTCGGCATTTCCTGCAGGAGATTTTGCAGGCGTTTGTGATTGAAGAAATGACGATTCGGGAAGCAGAGAAGACGCGCTTCTAAAGGAGTTCTTGATTGGCTCTTTCACAGGCTTTGGCAGGAGAGAAGATGCTTTTGTGAAGGAGCTTTTTACGGCTTCGTTTACTGGCTCCGACATTTCTGGCATTAACTCCACTGTATTCGTTTCGCAGATATCACCTTCGTCTATCCGTTGTTTTCGGAAGTTTTCAAGAATGTTCGCATGCGTTTTGCCATTTTTCACATCCTTCGCCAGGGAGTTTTTCTGAGGATTAATATTGATACATTTTTGTTCGTCAGTGAATAGGTTGCATTCATCAGAGGACACAGAAATGGGGCTATTTATGAAAGGTCGACAACCTTTAAAAATATTGAAAATTATCTAAACATTTTAAAGAATTGAAATTAATATGAACCATCCACGCACACTTCAATTTGAAAATAAAATCTCCTTTCAGCAGAAGTGGAAGAAAAATATGCGCAAGTTTAGGAAGTTTTCCTCTGGGGCACATGATTCCCCTCTCTTCATCCTTCATGAGTAGGAGGGAATCTGATAATTATAAGTGTTATGTTTTGAAATTTGCATGCGGGTCGATAGATGACAGGCATGTCAACTGAGAATAAACGCTGGAAAAGTTTTCTACTCAGGAATTGATGCAAACATTCGATACCCCGCATTTACCGTTTTCCATAAAGTTGAAAACTTTGAGATAAATTTTCCTTCCACATAAAAAAAAAAAAAGAAAAAAAAAAAAAAAAAAAAAAAAAAAAAAAAANAAAAAAAAAAAAAAAAAAAAAAAAAAAAAAAAAAAAAAAAAAAAAAAACGCACGTTGAACAGGATTGAGTCAGAACAGCGAAAAATATCTTGAAATTATTCGTGGGAAAAGCTCACCAACGTTGTCGCGTTCATATTGTACATCATCAAGTTCCGGTTCGACGTGAACACGGAGTATTCAAGTTCTGAGGCTAGTTCCCATAACATTTTGTTATCCAGCGTAGGATTGCTTTCAGGATGCGACTCAATGTAAGCTTTGGCCTGCTCCGTAAGGCTGCCAAGGATTCTTTCCCAGTGGCATTTCCGACTCTGCGAAATGAAAATGCTTGAAGATGAAATTCTTCCCATATATATGCTCTGGAGAGCGAAAAAATACAATGAACAATTTAAACGTTGAAAACGTTTCCTCACGATCTTTCAAATTTTTCTAAAATTTCTGGATTTTTTTTTAAATACAGTCGACAGGATTCGGCACGACATGAAACTGCTTTTAAACTTGATATTTTAGAAAGTCAGAGAAAATGGGAACAACGAAATGTATTGCGAGTATCGAAGTAAAACAGACTTGATTTGTGAGGTTCTTGATTTTCCCCGTGAACTGATGACTTCGGATGACAGAAAAATCTTCATCTATCTCAGACGGAGGCGGGGCGGCATTCTTACGACGCAAAGCGAACTGCTTTTCAATGGTGCGCATTAAAGCAAGCTTAGATTTCACTTCCTCTTCTGAGTCTTCCGCATAGTACTCCCCTTCTCTGGAACAATAAACACACATAAATCCGTACTTTCCTGCCTTTTTTCAAGGAAAAAAAAATTCAATACCAAGAATTAAAAATCTTACATCAACTAGAACAGTAGTACTCATTATAATACTAAAATTCGACGCTACTTTAATTATTTCAACAAGGAAAGTGACAGGGCTTTAGAACGGGAATCGTAATACCTTTTGGCACCAGATCTTCCCCCTCCATAGAGATCAGAATCATCTTCCTTCGAACTGATCCAAGTTCTGGTAGATGCACTTGCATCTGCGAAGGCAGAAACTTTTTCCTTCAACTTTTTTGGGTCAACGCAAGCATCACACAGCTTTTTACAGTCTTTTAGACTATCTCCAAAATGTTTGGCAAACCCAGCGTGACGGCAACTGAAAAAGATAATTTCAACAAAAGCTGATCGGCATGAATTACACTCGGTGATATTCCGAACAAACCTCGTTCCTTCGCAGTAACTCATCATAACTTTCAATTCTTTCAAAGCTTCATTCGCAGTTTGAGTCTGCTTTTCATTTTTAGCTTTCGTAAGCGCTTGGTTCAGCAAAAACTGCAAGGAATTCCGATCACTATGGGAATGATAGACACGACATTTCGCAGGCAAACCATCTCTGCCTGCACGACCAGATTCTTGATAGTAGCCAGCAATGGACTGCGGCGACGACCAATGCGCAACAGCCCTAAATTTAATCATAAAATTTGAAACCAACAGATCCTATTGAAATTTTGGCCACAGAATTACCTCACAGCCGCTTTGTCAACACCCATACCAAAAGAAACAGTTGCACAAATGACACTGAATTCTCCAGTCATCCAATCTTCTTGGTTCTTTGCTCTAGTCAGTCTCGGTATACCTAACGAACGCAATTACATAAAACATCATTGTTTGAAACGATGGTCATTTGACTGAAATGGCTGCAACCCACCCGAATGGTACGCCCGAGCAGGCAATCCCAATTTTGTCAACGACGTTGCCATTTCTTCCACGTCTACCTTTTTACGACAGTAAACTATGGCACTTCCTTTTTCTCCCTGCAAAACAGAATTTTATTTTGTACATTTTTTGTGTTATATAGGAAAAAGTATCAACAAACCTTCGGGAGATTTTTGTTCCCAGCCAACGCATCTGTCAGAAACTGTAATAAGTGCCGCAGAGGATTCGTCAGATTCTCTTTGAATTTTACATCATAAAAGAGGTTCTTTCGAAAGCACGAAGCTTTGAAAATTGCTGGCTTCTTGAACTCCAGCTGATTGAAAATATCTTGTTGAACCTACGAAAAAAAAATTACCACCATTGCCGCTTATTTTCCCTTGAAGGTGAATTCTACCAATTTTGGAGCAGTTGCGGTCAAGGCAATCCAAGGCACACCAGGCATTAGAGGTCGAACTTTGGCAAGTTTCAAGTAATCATGCCGAAAATCGTGACCCCATTGACTGACACAATGCGCTTCGTCAACAGCAAAATGTGCTATTTTCTTTTTAGCAACTAGGGCCTTCAATTTTTCCTAGTTGAGAGAATAAATTCATGTCAATATTGGTTTATCCGTGAGGATCATTAGGAATCACACCTGAAAATGCGGTTGGGCAACCAGCTCTGGAGTGACAAATAACATAACTGTTTCTGGCAAAGGTTTCCTCAAGTCCTCCCACACTCGTGCTCTCTCTGCTTCCGACATGGACGAATTTACACTTTCTGCACACACCTTCACCTTCTTCAAGGAATCGATTTGATCCTAAAAACATTTACAAAATCCAACTTGGGATAGCGCAAATTAAAAAAGCGCAACCTGACCCACCTTAATCAAGGCAATCAACGGAGACACAACCAAGGTTATTCGACCCTTGGCTAATACAGCCGGTAACTGATAGCATAAAGACTTTCCTGAACCAGTCGGCATTGAGACGTAGACATCCTTATCACCTGCATAGCGAGATTTCGGAAAAATCCAGAACTTCAAATTAACAAAAATTCAAACCTTTGATGATTTCCCTGATTGCATCTTCCTGCAGCTTTGATCGAAAGCCTTTATGGCCGAATGTATTGCGCAAAACGTCCTCCATCGTAAGGATCACACTTAAATCATATCTGTCAAGATTTCAAAGCATGAAAATAAACTAAATTCAACACAATGTTCATTGGGTACTTCGCATGAATGAAGACTAAGGCTCAGATAAGCATTCAAATAATTTGTTTCTTTCCCCAAAACGTGAAAATAAACTATAAACCAAATAACGGCACACAGGCGGTCTTCATCAGATCTATCAGATCATTTAGAAAGGTGGGAATCTTAGTTTGACTCTTCTTCAAAGGACCATTCGAATTTTGAGGGTGCGACTGAATACATCAACAAATGCCCGAAGAACTTGGATCACATCGGAAGCGTTCTCCCCTGGTTTGGGGTTCAGACCTAGATAATTTCCTCAAGCTGAAAGTACCATACGCGCCTGGGCATCACAAAGCAATACCGCTGCAAAAATACTTGTATTTCAAACGTGATCTTCCCGACAGAATGTACTACAGTGTTCCTCATTTTAGCCTCGACTCTTCAGGCAGAAATCGGTTCCATGGCAGTCCAAACGACTCTTGAAGTTTCAGCAGCTTCGGGACCCTGTCTCGCCGGTGCAGGAAACAAGGAGTACGTCAAGTTTATCCTATGCATCCATCTAAACACGGACAATTTTATATGAACTTCCCGCAACAACAAGAAGTGCTGAAAGAAAAGCTACTCACATATAAGCCACAAGAATAAGGCACATTGCCAATGCACTAACAAGAAACACGAGCCCTGGGAAAAAGTTCAACGTCGCCCCGTATATGGTATTGTAAATCAGAGTACCAAGAATAGGTACCAATGCTTCCATTGAACCTAACACGGCATAGATCTTCCCTGTAAACATTGCTTGAATGATAACCGTACTGTAAATCATTCGACCAAAATCAATTACTTTACCAAGCTCAGTGTTCGATGTCACTTTGGACAACATCGACCTTCCGATGATAATTTTTGCTGTCGATAAAACTTGCAGAAAAGCAACTGCAAAAATACATCATCAAGAGTAAGTTGATTATTTGAATGAATTGCACGTACTGCAGTTGAATGCCCATCCCGAGGGCGCCAAAGCTTGCAGAATTTTCGTGACAATCACCACTACCACAGCGAAGATTCCAATGCCGGTATCCGACATTCTTTTGGCCATCAGCGGTAACCCGACTAAATTTCCTGCATCAAACAATAATTTCCGGTCGAATCTCCAACAAATTACATATACTGTATTCGACTTGCACTCGAACTCACCAAGCACGGCGCAAATCGTGACTATTGCCGAGTACCACGCGTAGTTATACTCGTTCCACTTGAATTTTCTTCTAGTAAACAGGTAAGATATCGACCATTCTCCTAGCGAAGAGAAGAAACGTCAAATTTGTTACGCACATCTTCTCTCGACTGAAGTGACAATGGATAGGATGATTTACCAGATCCGGCAATGGATGATACTACGATGACAAAACACTGCAGCCAAATAATCCAATGCTTGTCCCGTTCCCTTCGTCTCGCGAAAACGCTCAGTGATTCCCGAACATGCTCCACACCGAACAACGCCTTACAAGTGGACAATTTTTCTCGCTCAATAGCAGAGTCTCTCGAAATTAAATGTGAATCACTCCTCATGAACACAAGCGTCATAAAGCCAGCCAACAGAGTGAGCAAAATCGTTACAATGAAGACACCTTCGAAGTCGAATTTCGAGAAAAGAACACTCCCCAGGAAGTTGCCCAAGGGTCCAGCTAGGCAAAATGCAGCGTCAAGTAGAGCAAGTCGCATTGTGCGGGTTTCCGTCGAGGAGACATCCGCGATGTACGAAAACACCGAAACGCGGAGTGCGACAAATCCGCCGCCCAAAGAATAAGGGACTGATGAAAACAACAAGATGTATTCCTTCGAAGTGACATCAAGCCAGATGGAATTGACCAAATGTCCAACTTCGTCCAACAGGAGTCCAGTGAGCATGAGAAGTAGAAGCCAGCGGCGGCCAAATCGGTCACTCCAAGAACCGAGGTATAAGCTCGAAATGAATGGGGCGGCATGTTCGACAGCACTTTTCAAAATCAGAAATCTCGAAGCTGCAGGCTGAACCACGGATTGTGCATCGTGATTTTCTGGATCACTCAAGTGCCTACACACATTGGCGGGAAAGGAGAAGTCCAGACGACATATTTTGTAGAGTGTCAGATTCTGTAAAATGTTAATTTCATCCCGATCAGGACGCAGTCAATGACCATCATCCGCACAAATTCACTTTCGTTCTACAACGCATAAATACCGATTTCGACATTTAAATTTTAAAATTTATTAAGCGTGCCTGATATATCTTTAGGCAGATGTTTTTGTTTTGACTCTTTCGCAAAAAGTTTTGAGATCAAAATACAATGTTCTGAAGTTGGCGATGTATAGTGCATTTAAATGCACAATGGCTACATTACGCAAACCGAGAATAAAAGTACAATAATGCATAAACACTTCAATACTGCACTACAAAAGTAAAATAACTTGATCCCGAATAGGTTTAACTTTCCTTACTTGAATTATAAGCATTTCAGCGAAAACGGCAAGCGCGATAACGAAGCAAACCGGCTCCACTGAGACATTTCGTGAGGCTTGCAACAAAGACGCTCTAATACGATGGGCAATGGTTCCTTGTCCAGCACAGTCAGATCGCACCGTGATTTCGCAAGTGCCATCATGGTCAGATTCCTGCTTCAGATCCTTTTCAGTCGTCACCAATTCATCGTTCTCTTCTGCTGATAGCACATTTATTTCGACAAAAGAATACGACTTTCAGACACGCTGAATGGCATAGTTTTACTCACCTTTCATTTCACAGACACAATCCTAAGTCACAGGGCTGGCGTCATCTCAAAATTTTTCTAAAAATACTGTACACCTGGTGAGAATAAAAAAATGATGCCGTTACTCGCGGAACTCTAGCTCAACTTCACAACACTTCGATATGTCTCCATTTATTTTTGAACAAAAATTTAGATTTAATTTCTTGAACGAAGGATGCATTCCGGTATTCCTTTATATACGAAAAAGCTTACACAAAGGAATGTAAAAAAATGCATCCGATTTCATGCACTGACCCCAATTTTTTTCGCGATTCCAGATAACATTCGCGTCGTAAACCGGGTAATTATGAAGATTCATCCATGCAAAAACCATTTCCATCCACAACGTTTGAGGCAGCAGTTTCTTCGGACATTCGATTGATCACCTCATGATTCTTTATGTGTTTGTCGAGTGGTCCACATAGCTTAAAGAATTTCAGACAATGTGGACATTGGCCCGAAGTAACGTCATAGTGTCTCTTCATGTGGTCTTTCAGCTGGTCAGAACGATGGAACGACCTTGCGCAATCTTGACACCTAAAGCATTAAATTTGCTTATTTTTCAAGTTGAAGGTTTCAATGGGGCCAAGTTGACTTTCGTGGAAACTAAACGACCGTCCCGCGCTAAAGCAATTTAAAATGTTACAATTTAAATGGAGTAAAAAATGATGGGGTTTTATAACACGAACAATAAATCCACACAATAAAACAAAATATCCTCTTTGTTAGCACAATAGAACCATACGAACGAGGTATCTATTGATTTCAAGAAACACTGCAAAACGTAAGTCTCACCTGAATTTCTTTTCGTTGGAATTGGAATGAGTTCTACAGTGCAAATCGTACTTGTCCTTTCGTTTGAAATGCTTTCCACACTCAGCACACTCGAAACTGAAGTCTTCTGAATGCGTCATCATATGACGCTTTATGCTGTCTCTGAAATAACTTTTGCCACAAATTTCACATTGTTTCCTCCGCTTCAGTTTCTGCGAATTTTTGTTCTATCACGCATCCGCAATTGCTGTCAAATAAATGAACATACCTCGTGCTCTTCCACGGCCTGCACATCAGACTTAGAAATATCACCAGTAACTTGAGAAGCACCGTCACATACTGGGCTATTTTCACATTCATTCCGAGCATTCGGTTCGGTACCTATAATAGAAGAACAGGATGAAACTACATTTATGATACGTCGAAACACATTCACGCGAGATTTTCTGTTTTTTTTGTCGACGAATTTAAGAATGTTTACACAAAATATACTCTCACGAAATTCAAAAGTTAGAATAAATTTCAATTCTGCGCTAAGCTCTTTTCTTTTCCCCGGAACTATTTAGTTCAGATGACCAGAAAATCGAAAGAGTTTCTCCGATTATTCCCTGCCTTGAGCAGTTCTTTCCCAGACAATTTTCCCCATGACCAGTACAGCGGAACTGAGATCTTTCCAATCAATGTGCAGAAATTACGACAGCGCACAGAAATCATGATTCCCAGAATAAAAAGGGAGTCTGCAGTTTATGGACATCATTGTTTTCCGCTTTTGCTGTTGCGAATAAAACATATTTCAGAATACAGTACCTGAATGCACTCGTTGATGAGTGATCAAATAGCTTTTCCTTGTGAAAACCTTATCACAACGATCACAGGCGAACGGCTTCGAGTTCTCATGTTTCCGAGCATGCTCCTTATAACGGCTTAGTCTTGTGAAACTAGATTCGCACGAATCGCACTTGTAAGGTTTGGTTTCTGCAATTGAATTGAGTTAATCGCTCAATCTGAACTGGCTTTTTCGAATGATCTTACTTCTGTGGGCCACGAGATGCTGATCCAGAATCTTTTTCAAATGAAATGTTTGACCACAAATTTTACACAAATGTGGCCGAAATCCCTTATGCACGCAGGCTACATGTTTGAACAGCCTGTCCTCGTTTTTAAAATTCACAGGACATTCCTTGCATTTTATTTGAGGCAATTCTGTTTTTGAACGCAGCCGAATTTTTGGCTTCCGGTTTTGTTTCTTCGATGCCTTGGCACTTCCTCCGTCTGCTTTTTCCATTAAGGAAAATATTTTATTCTCTCGGGGAATATTTCCTTTGGCAGGGTTTGAACAAGCAAACGATTCTTGAAGATATTCTCCCGTTTGCTTCTCTTGATCAAGACAACTGTGAATCTTCAAATAAAAAGCGATCATTAAATATAGATAGGGCATATCAAGATTAAGAGAAGGATTATTTCAATATTCATATTTTACACAGCTGCATTCTGTATCGGTACCTATAGGACTCAATACTTTGATATTTGGCGGCATAAAATACCCAACGCAATCTTTGCGGCTAACCTTCTGACCACTCTGAAGAAAAAAATCAAATGTATTGTCTAACCATTTTCGGCGAGCGAACGGGCTGAAACTCACCCCGCCGTTGCATTTAATAGAGTCGGAATCATCAGTAGAGCAATTCTTCGAACACCCAACGACTTTCACCTTCAAGCAATACACCAGATCTGCCGTTCTAAAAATGTCTCCGCTGACATGATGTCGATGGGAATCTTCCACAGACGTAGCACAAAAAAGGCAAGAGTCGCTGTTCGGAGACTTCCAGAGAATCTCGATTTGTTCCTCTTGACTTGGATAAACCTTTCCAGATATGAACAGAAAACTATCCCCCGCTTGATCGAAAAAACGTTTCTCGCCTGAAGCTGTATTGCTCCTTTCAACACCAGCCAACCGGAGAGCAGGATTTTCCATCTTCAACTAAACCGTCTGTAAAAAGCGGATAGAAACTATGAAAGTAAAAATGAAAAGATTTTCAATCAATCGAAATTCGGTTGGTGAACTTTTTTCAACCATTTACGATCACAGCCACAACAATAAATGTAATCGATGCAACCACCACTCCAAAGCACCCGCAAAATCGGAAAAATTTGATGAGGCATCAACAGAGAAAAGCTGCATTACACTCCCGATTTCCAACTTGAAAGATGATTGGTCAATAACACCGAAAATTGAAAAATTATTTCGAAACAGACGCTGAATTTGGAACAGCAGAAGCATTTCCTTTAGTTTCAGCTTCGCCAAGATATGCAAGAACTTGATTGCGACTCCTTTTTGTCAGGTGCGGCATACACGCAACCAAAGATGCAACATGATGGGATGAATATTCCTGCAGAAAACGCAATTTCAAGTGTCGAATCCAGCTTTCACTTCTTTTAATTACTCACAGGATGATCCTTAACCCATTGCTCGATTTCGACATCCGATTTGTAATACGCTCTCATGTACTCTTCAACGAAAGAGCATTCCGGTATCGGGCTTAAATCAGCAAACTTTCCAAGCTTTTGTAGAAATTGACGGAAATCAAGCAGCATCCATGAACGTCCGTAAAAGGAACATTTCTTCGCAGAAGCAAATCTTTAATAATAGAAATGCGTTCAAGTAAATAGGTTCAATCCAAAAGTCAACGGATACACGTAATTCATCAGGAAACTGTACACTTATTCTTCCAAACGTACCTATCATTCGCTTTTAAAAGCCCTTTCGAATTCACGGACTATGACATTTTTGAAGAGGACAATTACAGCCTTCGAGCATATTCGATATACTGTAAATTATTCACGTCTAATCCTCAACATTCAGATTCGAATGGCTCACCCGTCAACAAAAAATCGAACTGACTGACGAACTGCATGGAACCATAATATTTTTCTAGAAGCCGGGGAAACGGAAATCCGTGCGACAACTTCATCCAAACGCATGCTAAAAAGTTGCAAATCCTGCATGATGAAAAAAATTTATATAAATCTGATGACCTTATTGAAATGAATGCCAGGAACATACTCTTAGTAAAACGTCAACGTAAGTATTATGTGAATCTTTCATGTCGTTCACATCCCAGTTCACTTGGGACATCATTGACAATAATCTTCGTGAATTCAGACAGCGCACGGCCGCATGTGCGAACAGCGGCTCCCGCAACTCCGGAGCAGTATTCACACTCTATGGGAAAAATAATACTGTATCGCATCGGACTAATTCTCAAAAGATTGGAAAGGAATTTTCATTCAGCGAAAATTGAATTTCACAGAATAAACGAACAAGGCGATCAGACTCGCACACAAGCAATTACACGGAAGGAGACATTATTGGTTTGTTTTTTCTTCAGTGAATTCAAGCTGTTAAAAATTATTTTCTTCAAATACGCAAAAAGATGAAAAAATTCCCGCATGCCAACTTTTGTCGTGGTGTTGACATGAAACCTCGATCATTTTTTCGCATAACTGATTTCATGTTCAAACTGAAAAATCGCTGCATGGTTGTGCCATCACAAGTAAATAAAAGGACGTTTCCTCACGAACAGTAAGTAATGCATAGATTTTAGGAGTAAACCGTGAAAGAATAACAATTTCCGGAAGTTGCGTTATTAGCACAAGTTGAAAAATATTTATCTCAAAAACAAAAAAAATACAGAACACAAAACTCACCTTCGAAAAAAACTGGTCGACGAATGGACGTCTCGTAGTCGGAATGTGCGCCTGGAAGTGTTGTTTCAACGCTTGATATTGCTTCGCAATAAATACAACCGATTCTCCAGCAACCAAAGCTCTGCTTAGAATTGAACACGGCTCATCTATGGCTTCCACCGTTTGTTCCGGCGGCAAAAACTGCAAAAAAAGTTTGTCATGTAGCTTAATTATTTTTCTTTTCTACAGTAATGCCAACGAACCTTAGATGAATCTTGGTCTTCGCCTAGTTTCTCCTCCTCTGAATCATCATCAACCCGTGGGATCAGAACTATGTTATCTTGAATCCTTTTCAACATCGCCACTAGTTTCCCGGTTTGTGACACTTGGCCTGATTCGCTGAGAACTTCTCCTTCGACTTTCCTCACACGAGCGAACTAAGAGACAAATGAACAAGTTATCTCAGGGATGAGGACAGAAAATTTTTCAAGGTTTCACATTAAAAAATTATAGGAATAGCGTTGAGGCAATGGTTCCAACACTACAACGAAAAAAGGACAGGAATTTTCATTAGCATGCAATACCGTTTTTGCGAAGAGAGAAAATTTGATACGAAGTAAAATGACTAAACAGTTCTTGAGAGTTAGTCTAATTTCAACTACATATAAAAAAAATCTCACCAAATCGGGCGCGAAAACCTTGCACACGGAGTACACGTAGAATTCAAAAAGGTGCGCAATGCAGACCAGAACGTCGAAAGCAACTGGTCTGAGAAGCAGAAGAAGCTGCAAATACTTCCCACAGAGCCTCAGTAAAGCCAGAGAAGTGTTCGGCAGAAGAGGAGCCGTTTCTTTTAAAGAACTGAAAGCGGCAGGGGCGTTAACACGAATATCTGCTTCATCTCCACTGCCGTCATCCACATATGCTCTCTTCAATTCATCAGGTACGTCTTCATCACTTGAAACATCTCCGTGATCTGAAGTACATTGCCTCTGATCAAATGATTCTTCTGCAACCTGCAGGACGATGATGAGATACTGTAATTTCAACAGAGTTCTCGAGGAATTTCATCCCAGCGAATAAAAACATTAAATAACTTCAAGAAATTGTGGACCAAATACAGTTTCAAATTTAAACTCCCATGAAATTTTCAAAATAAGGAAACCTACTTGTCTGATTTTTTAAAATTTTTTCACCATTATGCATTTTGCGAGGCTTCGACACTGCAACGAAGTGTTGAAATTATTTTTTGAACACTTCGAAGCAAGTTTTGGAATTTTATATGCAATCGGAAAAGTTTCTAACAAGAAAAGAAAATTTTGGCCTCTCACTTTATAATGTTCAGATATCTGAAAAGGATTCGCGGCGTCTTCTGCGTACACAGCAAAATACGACTCAGGATCATAACTGTTTCTATGGAATGACGCCGATACGAACGGAAGGAAAGAAACGATCAGTGACCCATGACTCGTCTCACTCGCTGAAAGTTTGATCCTCTTGAGAAACTTGAATTCCTATAAAAAAAAAAGGCACGATACAGAACTTCATCACTAAAAAAAAAACATTTTCATGCATTCACGAAGCTCTGCTACAGTGTATGTTCAGGACTTCGATGAATTTAGTCTTCAGGGTTATGATTTTTACGCGGATTATCTTCAACTTCTTCCACAAAACATAACGCACAGTCTTATTGTTACAGAAAACTGACCTCCATTTGGAAAACACTGAATCCAGGTCGCACAGGACAGGGATCCCAAAGTTCATGTTCCAAAAACGTGCGCAACTCATCCATTCTGTGCATGTGATAATTCTTTAAATAAAGAGAACTCTGTTGACGCAAGGATTCCTGCAACATGTGATGCTGAGGAGCTCGGTGATTTTCGGAATCCTCAACAGCTACATCACAAAGCTCATCACCAATCTCCATCAACCTTTACGAATCATCATAATGATCACAGAGTACGTGACTCAAAACAGATTTCTACATTTTTACCTGTGAATAACGTCAAGGACTTCGAGGAATTCGTCAAACTTGAAACTGGCCAACTGGGACACTGCAACTAACGACGATACTTTGTTCTGTACCTCCTGCCAAACTCTCGTAGGACCTCGACTCAACTTTTCTTTGATATATTCCTGCAAGGCCTCAATGTCATCACATCTTCCACCTAGTGAACGAAATTTTTTTAAAGAAGAGACAGCAAAGCGAACGAAGATTATCAACCAACTTGAGTCAGAACACAGAATTTCTTCCATATTCCCTGTTGCATGCCAATTCAGTACACCGTGGTAACTTTTCAGTGTATCCCACACACATTGGCACAATTTCAGAAGACATCTTGTGAATACTACAGGGGCAACTCTCTGCATAGAAAGGCTAATTTCAATCCATTCCATCATACAAGAACACTGAAAATACTTGCTTTACACATTTCTTGGTACGGCATGAATCGAACTTCCTCTGAAACTCCAGCGCTATTACAATCACCAGAATTCAGCAAAATTTCAGCACCCGGCAAAGATGTCAGACCAGTTTTTGGAGCATGTTCGGTGTATAGACCATGCGCTTGAGAAAACTGTGCAAATGCTCCAACCACGCTGGCACAACGATTTCGAATTGTAGCCAGTACGTGCAGATGAAGTTGATCGATAACGTAATGACATTCCCCAAGTGTCCAGTAAGCTTTGATGATATCCACGTACTTGTCAGCATCAAACTTTACACACAACTAGAAAAGATCATAAAAATCAAGCGGGAAGTCATTTAGGGGAACAAAAAGCTGCTAAAATTTTAGTTTTCGACAAGGACGCCTCTATCCCATCTGAAACGTAACGGAGTATCGTACTTCAATTTTTTACACTGTATGTTTCTACTATATGGGATGGCCGAGCGTGAAAAATAATTATATATATTTAAAAAATGAATTTTCAAGACAACCCCGTACGAATTTCTTGCTGTTCACGCATACACCAACGTTCAATGTTTGCTTCGAGTCACAAAATTTCTCCATCTTCGACTTCGTTCAAAAAAAATTTTCGAAGAAATACTCACAGAACGCGCTTAAACTCTGAACAACACCTCATAACGTTTGGTACACGATGAGTTGATTACGAAAGGACAGAGAGACTGGCAGAAATTATTACACGTATCAAGATTTAGCACATGTAATACGACGCATGGAAGTAGGCAAGCCATGAATAGCAACAAATATTGGGGTCAATTCTTCATACTAACCTCTGAAAGACGTTTCTCTACGAGTTCTTTGATTGCAAGTAGCGTATCGTGGAACTTCGAATTCAACTTTCTAACGCAAACGAATTGCGAATACGTCAAAGCTGTCGCCTGCGCTTCGACTAGAATACGAACGCAGAGTGACAGTTGTCCATCGTCAAGAAGATCTTGAACTCTTAAATCTGCTTCTCGCTGAAAAAAAATGCATATTCATTATACAAATAAAATGCAGCAACAATAAAATTCCAGACTTACAAGAGCTTTAAGAACATACAGTGATTCCAATATACAATGGACCTCGTGTCTTTGATGATGAAATTTGACAACCTGCATTGCTGGATTCGTGATTTCCGAGTTATACACGTCCAACGCTTTGCGACAATGCCTGATGATGAGCAGAATATCCGCCAACGCACTGCTCACCGACGAAACTTTCACAACACCTAGAGCACAATCCGATTGCTTCGCAAGTACCTTTTCAGATACCTTTTTCGAAACAACATGCTTCTGCCACGCTAGCTTCTTGCATCGTTCTTCGATGAAATTTGAATCCGAGAAGTCCAAGGTGTTCTTGAAATAGATCACAAATAAAAATCGTTCTGTGAAAGCATAAACAAGCCATACCTCGATTTCAAAGCGAGCTGAATCGTATTCCGATTGGAAGAATTTGGGCTCGATTCCTTCTAAGATCTCCTGTTCAGTGGAAGGATCGTTGGGATACGAACAAAATTCCTCAAGATTTCCATGCAGGACTGGTTGGAGACCTCTACCCTGACGGAGGCTTGCGACAGACGTAAGTTTCAAATCGTCGAACGAAACTCCTGGAGATGCTTCCGGCACGAGTGGTGAGGTCGGGCTTGCTGCGCCGGGAACACCATCCTATAATGAATAACAAAGTTCTATAATACTGTATTACGCGAAATAAGACTCTCCAAACCCACGGAAATATACTCACAGACACTCGATTAAACGCACGCATAAACTTCTTCAAGTTTAAATCCATTGCAGAAAGTGTGCTTTACAGGCGGCTCGGTGCGATTAAAGACGCGAATTTGGGTGGCGAAATTGATGCTCTTCCATCACTTCGTAAGAACATAATTTTGAGCAGAACACGAAACGAACATTGGAGCTATCCTAGTTGGGGGGACCCAGACTACTAGCTCCATCTACAATAAACAGTGCATACTCCCTTTCACGCGCGCCTAGCCCTTGTACACTCCAATTCTCCAACAGCTCTGCTGTGCTGCAGGTGAGGTACGCTATCGTCAGCCTTACCACCGGTCCGATTTTATTCTCTATGTGATAGTGTACCACAGGATGAACAGAACAGGGTTGTTGAACGATTGGAGTGTGTCCACCAAGAACGTTCAGTGTGCCATTCTTAGCGACATCTATATAGACGTAGTTTTGCGCCTGGGTCCCCCCAACTAGGATAGCTCCCGTACATTTTTTCACCACAAATGTCGGAGTACACCATGAAGTCCGTAACTCTGTCAACGCACATCAAAGCCACTTTCAATCGTACAAGTTCTAGCAGACTTCAGAGTTCATACCCCGGATGAAATTGGGCACATAACGAACGGTCGAGCGCGGCTCGACCATTCGTTACTCGAAAAGTTTTCAACGAGGCGTAAGATCTCCGAACCTCGAAGCTGTAAGCCTTTAGCCAGACTGCTGGGGCATATCTGTCTAGACATTCCAAGATAGTTTCCAACTCACCGCCTCTTACTTCCAATCGCCTCTGCTAGAGGATCTGTTCACTTCCATTCCCTTTGCTAGGCCATTATTGAGTGACTTTATTTATGCGCATGTTTCCGAGTAGAAATTGCATGTAGAAATAGGTGTAGGAAGGCAAAATAAGGTTTAGATACAACCTAAAATGGAGTTGTGCTAGTTATTCCGAAACATTTTTGAATAATACACCACCTTTTTTGCCGTAGAAGGCGTAGAAATTGTCCTGGAATCTATATCTCTTAATCATTGCAGTTGAAGTCACTCATTGAAAACCCCTGGTGGCTCTAGAAGAAACTGATGTGAAAGAGAAAAGCCCTGAATTAAGCGGTTCTTAGATGAAGTTGTGCTGGGAGTGGTTGTCACGCTTCATGCAGCGGAGTTCGACGAGAGTATCACCTCGTAAGCCGTGAGCGTGAAGTGAGTTCTTCGTGTGTCCAATGTGAATCAGAAGAATATATATTTCGGGTTTAATTTTGCATGTGGTAGCTCGCCTTTTGATGGAATTGTATTGCCAGTTTAATTTTTTCCACGGTTCTGTGCAGACACTCTTTCGATCAGTGTATCCAAATTCGCAGTCGATTGTATGATGTCCTACTGCCGGGAAAGTGGAAAAGATAAAATCGTGTTCGTTACGAAGGAAGATCACGCGGAACCTTCTAGAATAGTTCTTTCGGAGGACGACGAGAAGCCTGGACTCATTCTTCCGAATGGAGAAATTAATTGGAATTGCCCCTGCCTTGGTGGAATGGCAACAGGACCGTGCGGCGTAGAATTTCGTGATGCGTTTTCCTGCTTCCATTATAGTGAATCGGAAACAAAAGGAACGGAGTGTATCGAGAAGTTCAGTGAAATGCAACGTTGCATGCTTCAGTACCCCGCTCTTTACGGGAAACTGAATGAACCGGATGATGAAGATGACGTATTAGGAGTTGAAGACGAAGGAACCGCTGCGAATTCCGTGGTTTCCGATTCAAAAGAGTCAACCGCTGTGGCTGCGAAAACTGACGCAGGGCAGCATTGAGTGTGTTCGATCTCTAGGGATGGATAGTTGATTTTAAATTGATCGTGTTTAACGATCGTTTCTTTAAGTTTGTAACGGGTGCTGAAGCTTCACTCGTCCTGACGGGGTTGGAATGAAGTCACAAGCTGTCATCGTTAACTGTCGATCTTGGTCTTCTATGTTGTCTGCTCGGAAAGATGAACTTCATTTTCCCATCTATTTCTCTGCAGGAGTGTGTGCCCGTTGCCGTTGTGAAGCGCTTTTATGAGCAGTGAAAACTTGCTGCTCTCCACTTTCTTCGCGTGAGGGCGAACGTCACGATTGTGCGTCGTAAGCGTGGATATGGATACCGCACTGGGAATCTTCGACTGTGGATGATATTTGTTGGACTATGTTCAAGTTGTCTACTACTGGGCTTCTATCTGTATTCTGCAGATGACTATTCTCGTAAGCTTTATTTGCTCATGGGTTTTCTTTTCGTATTTCATGATTTTTCCAAATTTTCGCAGAAACCGATAATCTGCTTGGATTCAGCAGGAGAGAAGCTCGACTTGCTGAGCGAGTTAGAGAAGTCGAAGAGCAGAACCTAATTTTGCGCCGTCAGCTTTCGATATCTCAAAATCAGTTGATAAGTCTCATTTCTGACGCTCAGAAAAATAATCAAAAAGATTATGCTGAATCAAATAATACAATTGCTCTCGTTTCTTCGAGTGTAAAGCTAAGAAAAACGGGCCAACCACCGTGTCGAGAGGTAATATGTAACTGCGTGAAGTTGAATTCTGAGGCTCAACTCCCCTCTTTTACTTCGAAGGACCTGAAAGTTCCAAAATGTCAAACGCTGCATATATCAATCGTATGCGCCGGATACAATGCTACTCGGTCTGTCGTCACCTTGATCAAGTCTGTTTTGTTCTTCCGGAAGCATCCCTTGCATTTTCATCTCGTATCGGATCCAGTAGCTCAAACAATCTTGGCAAAACTGTTCGCAACATGGGCTATTCCTCGAGGTGATGTATTTCTCAGCTGCAGAGGTTTCAGCGTATTATTTAAGTTTCTGATTTTTACAGTTGAAGTTAGTTTCTACAACTCAGAAAAGCTTCAGAATGAAGTCGCATGGATTCCAAACAAGCATTACTCGGGAGTTTATGGTCTTCTCAAGTTGACTCTTCCAAAAGCACTTCCTGGAAGTATTGAACGAATTATCGTTCTCGATACTGATATCACCGTTGCCACTGATATCGCGGAACTGTGGGCCTTGTTTCGGAGCTTCGGGCCGAAGCAAGCGATTGGCTTGGTTGAAAATCAAAGCGATTGGTATTTGGGTAAATTGTGGAAAAATCATCGACCATGGCCTGCTTTGGGACGGGGGTACGCTTTCCTTTATATTTCGCGCTTAGTCAGATGAGTGATACCAAAGCATGATTTCCAGATTTAACACGGGAGTCATGCTGATGGACTTGAGAAAACTGCGTGAACTGGAATGGTCTCAACTATGGAGAATGATCGCTGAGAAAGATTTAACGACCTTGTTGGCCACGTCTCTTGCTGATCAAGATATTATTAATGCCGTTATTAAACAGCACCCTTTCCTTGTCCATCCTCTCCCATGTCAATGGAATGTTCAGCTGAGCGAAAATACGCTTAGCGAGCTTTGTTATTTGGAAGTGACCGACCTGAAAGTGAGTTCATTTTATTGCTGCGAATGATAATTGACCATTGATGAGAATAAATAATTTTCAGGCAATCCATTGGAATTCGCCAAAAAAATTGAAAGTCAAGAATAAACACGGAGAATATTTTCGTAACCATTATTTAACTTTTTTGGAGTACGACGGAAATTTGCTGCGTCGTGAACTAGTGAATTGTGACCCAATTGGAAACGGAGAAAATGAGATCCCCACTGAAGTTCAAGAAGTGAGTAAAAGCTTTCGCTGACTGCAAAAAGTTTATTTTGTTTTATATTTTCGTGCGTAACAGTTAGGAGATGACGAAGCTTGTGTAGATTTCCGGCGTGCTAGACGGATCACGTACAGAACGCATCTGTATTTCCTGGAATACGAGTACCACAAGTCGGAAGCAAATTTTGACGTTACGTTAGTCGCACAGCTTTCTATGGATCGTCTACAGATGGTAGAGAGTCTGTTGCAGCAGTATGATGGTAAGTCATCCGTTTTCTGGTTTTCAGAAGAGTATCCATCAATATTAATTTCATCTTGGTTTTTCTTCGTAATTGTTCATGCTCAGGTCCCATTAGTTTGACTCTGTATTTGAGTGATTCTGAAGCCCAGCAGTTCGTTGCCTTTGTGCAGAGTTCGGAAGTTCTTTCATCAAGACGAAATGTTGCCTACCATGTCGTGTACAAGGACGGAGTAAGCGTTTTACGCGATGACTTGCTTTACTATAATAGGCTACAATAATTGTTGTTCCTCTTTTTAGACGTACTATCCCGTGAATTATTTACGTAACGTTGGCTTGGAACACGTTGACACTGAGTATGTGTTCCTCTCTGATATTGACTTCTTGCCGTTGGAATCTCTGCATGCTGTTTTGCGGAAGGCTGTTCGGTTTATTGACTGGGACGCATCGAAGAAGGTATGTTCTCAATTTATTTCAATTGCGGGCCTCGATGTGGCTATACTGATTTTTTTAGGCGCTCGTCGTACCTGCATTTGAGACGCAACGATATCGTATTACGCTACCTAGAACCAAAGCGGAACTTCTTACTAGCCTGGACATGGGAGTGATTTTTACGTTTCGGTACCACGTATGGGCACAGGGGCACGCTCCGACGAATTACGCGAAATGGCGAACTGCCACCACTCCATATGAGGTTAGTTGGGTTGTGATAATTTTATGTGTTTTTCCTCCATTTTACCATTCGTACGTTTTTCCTTGCCATCTCAGCCTGATTCTCCCTCGTCTGACGAGACAATTTCTGAGTCTCGTGATTACTGTACAATACTTATAATTATTCTAATCATCAAGAAGGAATTTCAATGTACGCGTCCATTGTTTTGCCGTTCTTGGTTAAGCTTTATGACGCTAGTACAGTATTCCAGTCTTCGTGAATTACAGATGCATGCAGAACGAAATCGAATGCCAGAAGGACTTGATTTTGTCCGGCAAAGGGTATCCGGATAAAATTTCCGAGGAGCTTTGATATTTAAGATTATGAATGGATTTTATATCACTGTAGTTCCGTATTTTAATCGATTTGCATTTTACTATTTTATTTCCAGATCTCATGGGAAAAAGACTTCGAGCCGTATGTTGTTGTTCGTCTCGAAGATGTTCCCTTGTTTGATACCAGATTCGTGGGTTTCGGTTGGAACAAAGTGGCTCATTCCATGGAAATGGCTGCTCAGGGGTTCCAGTTCATCGTTTTACCCAATGCTTTCGTTGTTCACATGCCGCACGCCCCGTCTCTTGACATTGCGAAATTTAGAAACTCGAAGCAATACCAAAGGTAGTTGTTCATTGCGTTTATATATATTAATTAGACCAAAGTATTAATACCAATTTCCATTCTGCATTGCAGATGTCTGTCTGCTCTGAAGCGGGACTTCGTGACTGAGTTAAACGTCAAGTATGGAAAAGGCTTCCCGTCTGATTGAATGTTGAAACCTTTCAGGAGAAAAGCATTCGTAAAGACCGCTGTATTTCGAGGACAGAATCCTTCTGTTCTGCGCTTGTCATGAGAATCTGTGATACATCTTCGCGACCTCCGATGCCGCGATAATGAAAGCTAGAGCTAAGAATTTTATCTTTGTGTTCCCTTGCTGAATTTTCCGACCATGACAGAGAGCGGTCCTCGCTGGTGAATATTGCTGCAAATTACTGATGTCTTGGGATGTCTTCCAAATAAACCAGAAGCCTTGTTTTCTTTTGTATCTTTTTTTTGTTTTTAAATGCTTTTGATTTTATTGCGGCTGATTTGTATTTCCAGGAGTTCGTTAATCATGAAGTGTTGAAGCTCGAAGGGATTCTGTTGTGAAGCTGCAATGGGGCGGAAAGCTACCCTTGCTACTTGTGCGTTGAATCAATGGGCTCTCGATTTTGACGGAAATTTGAACAGGATCCTCATAAGCATTGAAGATGCTAAGCGAATGGAAGCGAAATACAGGACTGGGCCAGAGCTTGAGATCAGGTTAGTTCGTTGCACGTTCAAATTATCTCAAATTAGAAAGGGAAAAATTTATCTTGTCATTTTTAAGGGAAGAGATGCAATTCTGGAATCATTCTTATAAACTATCTTTCTTTACATCTTACCCTCTTCTAGAATTTTTGTGTTTAAAGAAAACTCCTGAATATTATTTTTCAGTGGTTATAGCTGTGAGGACCACTTCTACGAAAGTGACACATGTCTTCATTCCTGGGAAGTCCTATCAAGGCTTCTTGTACATCCCGTCTGCCAGGACATGGTAATCGACGTTGGTATGCCCATCATGCACAAAAATGTTGTGTACAACTGCCGAGTGGTCTTCTTGAATAAGTACGTTTTAAATTGAAAATGCTCTTGCGTTTGAAGGATTTTTTACAATTTTTTTTTTACAGGAAGATCTTATTAATTCGACCGAAGAAAGCTATGTGTGATGACGGAAATTACCGGGAATCGCGATGGTTCACGGCTTGGCGGAAAGTGAGTTTTCATATGGTTTTGCTGAATTTGAGCTTATTGGTACAATAATCGGAATGAAAGGTTTGTTGAATTTTTTAATGTATCGCGATCTTTTAATTTTCTATTTTGAGGAATGTGAACTGGGAATTTCAAAGCGAAGTGACGTATTTTTTACATTTTGCAGGACCGCATTGTGGAAGATCATTACTTGCCGCGGATGATCAGCGCTATAACAGGACAAGATTCTGTGCCTTTCGGAGACGGAGTTCTATCGTTGCGTGACACGTGTGTTGGTTATGAAATATGCGAAGAACTTTGGACTCCTCAATGGTAAGTGTTACTTGGCTTTCTGATATTATCCCTCGCCATCATTATCATTCCCTTTTTATTTTCTAGCTCTCATATAAATCAAGGGTTGGACGGTGTGGAGATCTTCGTGAACAGTTCGGGTTCGTATAGTGAGCTCAGAAAAGCGTACTATCATGTGGAACTAATCAAATCGGCTACTGCTAGAAGTGGCGGTTGCTACTTGTTTGCGAACTTGCGTGGCTGCGATGGACAACGAATCTATTTCAACTCTTGTTCGTGTGTAGCCGTTAATGGTCACATCGTCTCGAAAACCAAGTAATTGATTTTAGTTTATCCAGTAGTTATCCTAGCACCATGAGGAATATTCAGTACGCCTCTTCGTTGATCCCACGAAAATGTTTTCCTTCTGAATTCGAAAGATTTGTCAGTACAGTAATACTTCACCATGATTAGTTGAAGTTATGTTGATCTGAATTTGACGGCTGTTTTCTATTCTTGCTTGCTTAACGTTTACAGGAAATTGAAAGCAACTCTGATTATGGAAATTTTGAATTAAAGTGTACAAATTCCTAAATCATGAAATTAAATTCTTGAACAATGACACTTATGTATTAAAAACAATCTTCTTGTAATACTGTAATTCCATGCATTTTTAGCAACAAAATAATAACCTGTATTTTACGTATGTGAAAAGGCAGTACGATCTGGAAGAAGTTGAGGTAGCTGTGGCCACTATCGACCTTGAAGACATCCGCGCGTACCGCAATGCAGTGCGAAGTCGTAGTCGTCTTGCAGCTGAACTCACACCGTCTTTTCCTCGGATCCGAGTGGATTTCGCGCTGTCTAGCCGGGACGAGGAGATTTCTGTGCCGCCCTCGCTGCCTCTGGAATGGGATTATTATTCAGCTGAAGAGGAAATATCCCTTGGACCTGCCTGCTGGCTCTGGGATTATTTGAGGTTCTTTCTCTTGAAAGGTGCCAATTTTTTTTCAATTCTCGAAGTCTTTTTTTTTTTTCATAGGAGGAGCAGTCAGGGAGGATTTTTCCTTCCTCTGAGCGGGGGCGTTGATTCTTCGAGCGTAGCGTGCATCGTTGCTTCCATGTGTCGCTTGGTAGTGGAAGCCGTTGGACGCGGGGGTTAGTAAATGCTGCATAAAAAGAATGCAAAAATTATTTGAGCACGTGTTCCCTTTTTTTTTAACCCCGCCTTAGATGAACAAGCGTTGCTAGATATTCGGCGCATCGTTGGGGACAATAATTACTTGCCTTCGGACGCGAAGGAATTGTGCAATCGATTATTCGTTACCTGCTATATGGGTTCTGAAAATTCGTCTGCGGAAACAAAAGCTCGAGCAAAGGCATTAGCAGGAGAAATTGGGAGGTAAACATTAAATCCGTATTTTTCTAAATTAGCTTCATCGATGAAATTCCTCTTCAGTTATCACATGGACATTTCAATTGACTTGGCGGTCGCCGCCCTGCTTCGAGTTTTCACAATGGCAACCAACGCCCAACCACGGTTTAAAGCATTTGGAGGATCGCCGCGTGAAAACCTGGCTTTACAAAACGTACAAGCACGAGTTCGAATGGTGATCTCGTATCTTTTCGCGCAATTGATGCTGTGGGTTCGTGGGAGACCGTCTGGGGGACTGCTTGTGCTTAGTTCGGCCAATGTTGACGAAGCCTTGAGAGGATACATGACGAAATACGATTGTTCTTCGGCAGATTTGAATCCGATAGGTTCAATTTCAAAGTCGGATTTGAAGAAGTTTCTCTTGTACACTCTGCGCACGTGAGTACAATAAACATTCTCAAACAAATTATTGAAGAGTAAGGGTAGATGTTTTGAAAAAAAAAATGTTGTCGAAGAATAAAGTTTTTGCATAACTTCGAATTGAGAAACAAATATCAGGATTTTTCGGTATCTTGCATGTCGCTTCTTGTTACAATACTTGGCAAGTAGCGTATATGTTGGAGATTTTCCCTTACTTTTGTGGAGTTTTTTAAAAGTTTGACTTGAGTTTGTTTGCAGACGAAGTAAAATGTTTGTCTTGTGACATACGCCAATTGAAAGAAGGAAACAATTTTTGACAATAGTAAAAGTTGAGATTCTTTATTTTCCAACTGTTCTCTTCAATAGCCAAAACCGAACTGGTTTTGAATTCAAAAAAATGTGGCTTGTAAGCACACTCATGACGGAATAATGCGCCAAAAAATGACGGAATATCGCGGCAAAATAACAGTAGATCCTAAAAATGTTTTCCACAATTGTTCTGCCAGGAAACGGAGATCCGCGTTAATTTTTCTTTCACAATGGTTATTTTTTTTAGCCATGGGGCATCAGAGCCCCAGACTTTCCATCCACTGTCTATTTTGTTAAGGCAGAAAATCAATACATCATGGCATTTCTGCTATTCCTCCTGTCAGCGTGACATTTTTGCTCCAATATTTTCCAGGAAACAATTTTTCTTGAGGCAAGGGTCTTCCTGATTTCTTTGAGGATTCTGTTCCTAGTCATTTCCAGGAAATGGATTTCCGTTCAAGTTTACAAAATGCGTAGTCAATGGTGTTTGTGATCGATATTTTTACACAGGGCTTTTGTACAAGAGAATACATACAAGTACTTATTCGTACCGTATATTACAATTTTTTCATCAATGCATATATCAATCAAGTCAATCCTGATCTTTTTTCAATTCACAAAACTCATCTATGGATCCTGTGAACTAGGTATTCAGTCGTGGCTTTTCAGTGAAGAAATTTGTTTCTGCCTTGCGCATATTTCTCTGTGATGTCTCATAGAATGCCCTCAAACAACTGTAATATAATAATTCATGCAGTACAGTATTGAATACAAAGAATCATTTTTTGTTCCCGTCATCGCATTCGTGTAGTCATACATTTCGTTGGTAAAATATATTTAAAGTATCTTCGGATGAAAAAACTGGTTTCAAAATTGTTCCTTTGTTTACTTAGCCAATTAAGGACATTTCTTCGGCTAAAAAATTTGTTATTCGAATGAAATAACTATTGAATAAGGTAAGAGGATTAACTCCCCGTAACCCGTGCTTTCATCTTTTTTTTTGACAGACATGGATTAAAGAGCTTGGAAAGCATATTGAATGCTCCTCCTACAGCTGAGTTAGAGCCTCTGCAGAATGGACAGCTTGCGCAAACGGACGAAGTTGATATGGGGATGACGTACGATGAATTGTCAGTTTTCGGAAGGCTGAGAAAACAATCCGCTTGTGGACCATTTTCGATGTTCTGTAAGCTGATCCATACCTGGGGTGATCGGTGTTCACCATCCGAGGTTTGTTTATCCTGCGTAACGCTCTCATCGAACGATGGGCGAAGCGATTTATTCATGATGACTTTATTAAGTAATTATTTTTCTAATTACACTCCGGGAAGTTTCATTTGTGATGTCTGGGGCAAGTTTTAAAAAGCATGACATTTTTCGCAATTTTATAGACTTAAGGGAGCCTCCCACAATTTTATATTTTATGTGTTCAAAGCATTGGGTCGTCTCCTTTATTTGCTCAAGTGATTCTCTAAAACTTGACCAACATTTTTCAACAAGGTTATTTCTCACTTTTATTTCGTTCGTGTAAAAATTTTAGTTTCCGAGATTTGTAAAGCTTGTTTTCATTGTGATAGAATTTGTCAATTCAGGATGACGATTCGGCATTATTTTACTTGCATTTTGTATTTGTAGGTTGCTGAGAAGGTAAAGCATTTCTTCCGGTGCTATGCCATCAATCGACACAAAATGACGACATTGACGCCTGCGTATCACGCTGAAACGTATAGTCCGGACGACAATCGCTTTGATCATCGACCATTTCTTTACAATGTTCGCTGGAGCTGGCAGTTCCGAGCGATCGATCATCAGGTGTGTTGTTGCGACGATTGCATGATTTTTGATCAGTACATCCGACTTTCGAAGCTCAAACAGTAATAATCTAGAAGTTTATATCGGAAATTTTAAAGCGATGTGCGATATACTGTATTCAAAATTCGTTGTATGATACCCAGGTCGATGCCCTTCGACAGTCGCGTCAAATGGAGAAAAAAGTTACGATGGAAAAAAGGACGAACAAGATGACGGAAAAACAGCCTGCGGAAGAAGGATCGTCGTCGCAACCGCAAAATGATGGTGGGAATGTGGGACAACGAAGCGATGTTGACCGTATAGGCATGGAGCAAAGCGACCTTCCGGAAACCCGGCTAACGAGCCTCGAGTCGTTCGAAAACTCTTCTGACTCCGGCGCCGACTCGCCGAATGTCCAACCGGTTCTTCCCGAAATCGACAAGGGAGTTGAAAAGAAGATTCTCTTCAATTTTGACCGTAAGAAGCCTTGACAATTTTTTTTATTCATTTTTATGTATAAAATCCTGTATTTGATTAACGATTGAATTTCCGTGACATGAATTTGTGTGTCTGAATTTTCTCGCACCATTCATAGCTCATGAAAATGAAGATGGCCGTAATGGCAGTGTTGATGCCGGATCCGTGGGAACGTTCCCGATGCAAGTGCTTCCGTCACGGTTCATGATGTCGAATGGAACAGCTGAACTGAGGAGATTACTGAAAAACACTTGCGGGGGTGTGCAGGTGTGAGAACACCGCGTTAAGACAAAGAACGAAAAAATATTTGAGCTGCGACGACACGTATTCAGCGTTTGATGCACATATTAGATTTATTTTTGTTTCTGCTTTCGCTTTCATGCATTTCATTCTTAAATTCATATCAATTTTGAATTTCATTTAAGGAGAAATCAAGTTTGACCATCGGAGTACTGTTCGTGCAACAAACAGATGCACTGTGAAATGATCTGAAAGCGCTTTTCTTGAAGATATAGTTGATATACTGTATTGCAAAATTTCAAGTGAGAGTTGCAGCACAGAGGCTTTTTTCATCACACCGTCCTTCTAAATATCGTAGTTTTTATTTTTTAGCTGTGTGAAGAACAAATGTCACTCGTCAGGTCCGATTTCGATTACTGTACTGTATTTGAAAGAAAGAATTACCATCCATTTCAAAGGTTTCGCCGTTGAGCTGTACTTTGTGTCGCACGTGCGGTCGTGCATTTATTCGTTTTTCTTATTCAGGCCGGGCTCTCCGAGAAGCGCGTGAGTCTGGAAGCGGTATTGTGTAATGCTTGCTTGTTGAACGGAGGCTGGGTTCATTTCTTTGCTTCCGTCTTGTTCGGGTTGGGTTTCGGAGTTGAACTGTTTCCTCCGGCATTTCGTGGACTTGACTCGATGTGCTCGTCAAACGGAGTGCAGCTAGGGAAATTATGGGTATTTCACGTACAGGTATTTTTTTTCTTGGGTTATTTTTTTCTTCATGGAATCCTGTTTGAGTTACTGTAATTCAGTTTGCTTGCATTGTTTTTATGACCGAAAAGTTTTCGGTTGCGGGTTTAGAAAGGATACACTGTAAGTTGTTTTCGATCATTTCTCTGAATGTCTTTTGTGCTGGTAAGTCCTGCATGAAAGTTGTGTACAGTACACGGAAGCTAAATTTTTTATTAATTTCTATTCACGGGTACAATATTTTTTTTCTTGGGTTATTTTTTTCTTATTCTTCGTTGTTCACTTGCTTCTTCGTTCATCTGTTCTTCTAAAAGTTTCTCCGTCCGTGTGCATCCTAAATTATGCTCAATTTTACTTTTCTTTTATTAATGCTGTACTTTTTATTTGATTTTTTTTTTTTTTTTTTTTTTTTTTTTTTTTTTTTTTTTTTGACGACAGTCTTAGAATAGTAAGTGAAAGCGTACTGAATATCGAGTGCTCGAAAATACCTCGAGCTTTTCATCGAAGTAAAACGCGAATTTTTAGTGCAATAAGTCTTGCAAAGGCGATTTTGTTCCAGGGCATTTGGGCACGTAATCATGGCTTTTACGTTTCGAAAAGAATTACTGTATATATAAATCCGTCGAGCATTTATTCTATGTTTTGCTTTCGGCTGCAGCCTGTCTGAACTAAGACGTTATATTGCGCGTTCGAGTTTCTCTTATTGCGGAAGAAGCTTGTTGTGGGAAAGACTGCTCATGCGAAAAAAAAATTCACAGAAGGCAGAGCTTTTTTCCGGAAGTACAGAAGTGCGTAATGTTTTTGTCGTTTTATCGAAGTGTTCCTGTGGTATTTTGAACTCGCCTTCCATTTATTTTTAGATTGTTTACTGCTATGATTTGTTCGCAAGTTTTTTTTAGACACGATTTTCCTTGCATCGCAGAACGCACATTTTTGTACCATTTTCCATTTGCCCAAACGCACGGTATGGATATTCATGAGATCTGAGAAACAAAATTAAGAGACAGGGATGACGATGTCTGGCGTTCCATTCACTAAACGATGCTAACGTCGAATGGTATCGTAAATTATGCTCAATTTTACTTTTCTTTTATTAATGCTGTATTTTTTATTTGATTTTCGCAGGTTCAACTATTGGTGGGAAAAAGCTTGGGCTTAGCAAAAGTTGTGATTTTCGGGTCATTGGCGTAGTTCTTGTTCGAATCGGAAGTTGCGCTTCGCGGATTCTTGATGCGCGTGTGGAAGTGAAGCCTCGAGCGGGTTCATCTGTTTTTCTCAAATTTTTCCAACGAATTCCGAGATAATCTTTCGGGAGCTTATTTAGTTTAATAAGAGTCTGAGACTAGAGAAGTCGTTTACCGACCAAGCATTACCTCATTAAGATTTTTTCGACTGTATCGTGGAAGAAAATTCCGAGGGCTTTCTCTCTCCATGAAAGGTCGAGCTGGAAAGAAAGCGTGAAAAGATTCTGCGCCAGTTTCGTGGATAATTTCTCCTGACAGAATGCACTGAATAAATTATCTGTCCTATCTGCTGAACGAATAGTAGCCGTTCGCGAACGCTTTTTTTCTTCTTCTGAGAAGTGAAAGCAGTACCGGATTTAATCTCGATGACACGAATTCTTTGCTTGTTGAAGTTAGTTTCAACAACGTAGACAGATCAGTTCAGAGTAGATTGCTTCTGCTCGAAGAAGTCACGATTGTGTCTTTGATTGTAAAGAAAAATTATTCGAGTAATATTTATTATGACGATTGCTTTCCAGCGATTTTCGCCTGTTGATGACTTCGCTTTAAGTACAGCTCCATGCTTCCAAAGCGTTTTCTTGCATTTAATCTTGAGCACATCGAACGTTCGTGTGACAAAGTTTGATGCAAATCTGCTGGTACCGCAAAAAATTGTATTTTTTGCGGTACCAGCAGAAAATAAAAATACAATACAATATTCTCAATTTTTTGCTTAGCTTCTTTTTTCTGTTTTCGGGAAGACTGCTTGAAATTCTAATTTTTTGCAGCTTTTTAGTGAAAAGTCGTTTTTTGTATTTATGTACCCACTCTTTGAGACTTTGTCCTGGTTTCTTCGTTAGTTGGGCAACCATTGTGGCATTATTATCATATCGTGTGATGTGTCGAGTGAAATAATCGATGCAAGCGATACAACCTGATGCTGTAAAGGCGTCGAGAGCCCCTCTGGCGCAGCCGAAACATCGCAGATGTCCAAAGATATCCGCGGCGGGTCGGCGAAGTTCGGCATCCAAGATGGGCCCGGTGGCGTACCCGGGCTATTGAATTCGAACCCACTAGTGGCCGGGGCCGAATGGCGGAGGAAGAAGTCACAAGATGTTGGCACGCTTACAGGTGAGACCTGGTTTCCTTCCTTGAAATTGTTCCATGATGTGTAAAACCCGGAGCGGGAAATGACTGGTTTTCTCCCTCTCTGTGTCCGTCAGTTCATATTGAGCTTGAACGGATCCCACACATTCGTGGCGTATGCACTCAAACCTTGTGTTTCTAATGACAGTAAATGTTATTGGGCGGCAGTTTTCTTACTGATTGAGTGGTATGGAGTGAAATAGTTTCCGAAGTATTCATGGCAAAAAACGCGCATACATTTTTTATCATTTCTGAATCCTTTACCGGTCATTTTCCTTTTCCCACGGACGAGCAACTCTCCAACGAGCACAATTAAATACAGTTGAACTTTAATAACTCGAGCCTTCTTAAGTCAGAAATCTAATTTTTTCGGATTGTTTGTGACTGTCCTAGAAAACATTGATATACAGTACTGTATAGATCTCTACAACTCGAAGACTTACCCCCTCAAACGTCTATAACTCGAATTTTCATGCCTTTGTGTTATGATTTTGGGGACGAAGGAAATGAAAGAGCAATACAAATCCACTAGATTATTTTTAAAAGAAAGTGAGTGACTACGGCAAATGGATGATTTTTCTTGTTCTCTAGTTTAGAACTGTAGCTTGTGATCTCATTCATTGAGCCGTTTCAGTTCCAGAAGATCGAAAATGGTTTTCGAGTTCAGCAGCTTGTAATCTCACTCATTCAATGAGCAGTTTGAGTTCCAGAAGATCAAAAATGTTTGCTTCCTGTAATTATTTTCACATGTTTTCGACCGGGAAAGGCTGGTTTCCCTAACTCAAAAACTCGTTGAGTCGCATTTTTTTTCGTGGTCGTTCGGAGTTCGACTTCGAGAGGTTTGAGTGTATCAAAACCCGAAACAATGAGTGCAAAAGAGGAAGAAAAGTCATACAGTCAGTAAGTACGGATAAGAGCACATCCTTCGAGAGGAAGTGCAAATGAGAGCAATAAAAAATTCCACATTTGAGAAATGGTTGGTACCTGGAAACAAGTTGATTCGAACTCCCAAAGACATCTTGCTTGATACAACATCCTTTGTGCACTGTATTTTTTTCTTATTCTTCGTTGTTCACTTGCTTCTTCGTTCATCTGTTCTTCTAAAAGTTTCTCCGTCCGTGTGCATCCTAAATTATGTCAACTTTTGTCGATTTTTCTATTGCTTGAGGCAAATGCTGTACAGTATGTTCTGTGTCTCGCCGACTCTCTTTCTCTTATTTATATAGTGATTCTGTTTCATTTCTGGTTGGATGCCCATGACCATGGGCTGCTTAAGCGAATTCTCCAATCCCATGTCAGCCGTTCGAATATGAATGAACGATTCTTGGAGGTCATTATACTGCGGGCAGGCGTGTCAGCCTAAAATGAGCAACTGATCTGAAATGCTTGCTGTTCTTGATTTTAGTCTTTTCTTTCTTCTCGTATACGACGGACAAGCATACCTCGCGTTTCCTTTACAAATTCAAGCGATTCGAGATACAGTTTATCTTTCTTATTTGTTAGTTCGAATCAATTCACTGATGATTGTCCGGCTTCGTTCACGGGACGAGGCGAGCGTTACCGCAAAATTCTCTGAATCGATAGTACAAGATTATATTGCAGACGATCTTTACGACCTATGATTCATGACCGAGGAGGCAATATAATCAAATTATGCATTCTCTTCATTCCTTTCGAGAAAAATTAGAGTAACTCGGAGGAGAAAAGGCGCAGTAAATTATTCTCTGCTATTCAAAATCCATCTGGCTTGGCAATTCAAATGATAAACTGCCGTCTAGTGAGATGTTTCATTTGGTCCATTCCCCTTTCGAGTGGATCAGTGCGAATCTGAGTAACGGTGTTCGTCCTGAACATTAACCGTTGGTCAGTCGTTTATTTGAGCTAGCCCATTTTATACTTTTTTTTTTGGTTGAGGTCAGTGTTGTTTTCCGACCCACTTTCCCATTCCTCGGCCTAAAGGTTGTGGTTTCAGTAAGGGATGTTTTTACGAACGTGGGTGTGAGAAAATGAAAATGCGGGAAGAACTTCGAGGAGTGCGTTGTAGCCATATGCGCTTCATGTCCAGGAGTTCGTGGGATTTTTTCGCGCGTTTCGGAAGTAGGTTTGTTGTGAGATTTCCGGCGCTCATTTTAGCGATTGTCTCGCTCGAGGAATGCCAGACAAATTTCGCAAATCGCAACGGTGCCTCTCTCTCTTTTTTTTTAGAAAGATAAGAATTCCATTTGAGGAAATGCGGGTTGTTTCGAGTGACTGGGTCAAACTTTCGAACCCAATTATTGACCAACAGTTGACGTATCCAGTCATTTTCATCAGTATGATCTTCGTCGTGAAGATGAAAATTTTCGTGCTGAATTTTGTGTGGGGGTTTTTTTTCTACAGACGTTTGCTGCGAGAAAAATTTGCCGGAAGTAGAATTGGTGAGCTTGCTTACGGAGCAACTGCCGAATTACAAGCTTCGTGCGGACTATCTGACCACATTTCAAGGTGAGCATATCTCGTGATTCTCTTTTCGCTGTTTTGCTCCGCTCATTCCTCGTCGTCGCAATCCCCTTCTTGCCATTTTCTCTTGGTATTTTTTTATCGCCTAAGACTCTTTTGTTGGAAGATTGGAGAAAGAAAAGTAGGTACAGAGTTGGTTTTTTTGCCGTGGTACGGGCTTTTGTGCTCGCGGGAAATTCCTCGCAGTTAGTCGTGCCTGTAAGGACGTGTGTGGAAGATGTATTTTTCTAAGTTCCGTCGTTCGATTTCGAATTGCTGGGTCCTGGCGCAGTTACCTGGCAGTGTCTCCCACTCGTTGAATCTTGTTTCAAGAAATTTTTTTTTTTTCAGCTGGTGATCAGAATTCCTTCAGCACTGATCATGAAGAGATTTTTGGCGTTATTTCTTGCGAATTCGATTAAATTCGATCGTTTCTCCTCAATGTGACATGCGCCAGCACAAAGTGCAAGGAACTAAATTTTTTCAACGTTTCGGAAAAGTTAGAAAGGGTATAAAATTTGCGGGCCAATTTTGCCGTACTTTCACTAAATGACGTTTGGATTCGAAGTAATTAGAATACAGTTCGAAACTCTGAGTTTGAAGAAATTAAATCCTTGTTCAGACAGTTGAAATGAGAAGTTTGGTTCAAAACGTTCGCCAGTATGATACTACAGTACTGTACATGTATACTGTACCTTGAAATTACTTGAGGTTTATTTTTTGGAAAACGTTTTACAGTGCGCTTCAATTATCCCGATTAAAAGCCGGATTTCTTTTTCCAGATAATTAAATATTCTACTCAGGTTACTCTATCACGAAAAATCGAAATGTAGCTACATTGTGGGCAACAGATTGTGTAGATGCAGCGGATGATATTGAATGAAAATAATTTGCCAGCATTCCTGCAAATCTGAGTGCATTTGAAATTTATAAAATGCCGCATCAGAATGAAATTCTGAAAATTATAATTCAACGATTGCCGTAGTCACTTTACTTAGTTTTCTTCGATTAATGTTCATTCGAGTATAGTTGATCCAAATCCGGATAATGTTAGCTGTATTTTAGCTTCATGGATCTCGTTAATCAGTTCGAAGATGCATTTGGGTAAACCGGAGTACTGTTCACAGCTGATTGCATTTTCAATTATAATTTTGAACGTAGTACAGTATACTGAAATAGAGCGAAGTCAAAGTAGATGGAATAGCATTTTTTAGAATTCCTCCCGGTAATACTGTAATATATACAGTATATATATACATTACTGTGTTTTTTTTTTCCTCGGGTGATGAATGCGGTCGGTTTTGGAAAGTATCGTAGACTCAGAATTTTTTGAAGATAATGCTCAGCTTTGCACTGTTTCCTAGTTCGTATGATCCAGCGAAATGTCCCTTGAGAAATTGTGTGGGTCTTCTGTTTCGGGAAGCATGTGCCTTCTTCTTCTTTTTTCATGCGAGGTTATATTTCACCGAGTGGGGTGCGATTAGTGTCAAATGTAATCGGTGGGACAGGAAATCAGGATGGTCGCCTTTTTGTCCGTCTCCAGGTACAGTGATAGTCGAGTCCAGAGATTTAGTGAAAGCGTCGGGGTCGACGGAATGTTGATGATTAGGGAGACGAATCTGCGATTTATGTGTCCCTGGGGCAGCTCCAGTCGACTGCGGTGTAGCAGTCCTCAGTGTTTACGGACGGAGAAAAATCAGCATTTCATTCTCAATGAAGCCATTTTCGATTGATTGTACAATTCGTAAAGCACGTGAGAATTTTGTGTTTGAACTTGTTCTCACATTCTGTTTCCGTTGAGGAAAATCAGGGCCTTGTTGCTTCGGTCAACAATTATTTTGGCAGACTCCGTGTTCAGATTTATCAGAGTATGTATGCTGTTCACAAAACGACGAAATGGTTTGATGTGAACTCGAAATGAGCCATGGTGTTGCGGAGTACAGTACAGTACTGTAGTTCGGTTTCCCTCATCCCTCGTGAAACTGGATAAAGGTTTATAATTTTTTTTATTCTGTCCCGAACCGAGGTTCTCGACCTTTTGACCTCTTTTTGAAGGCTTTTCTAAAATAGAGCTCATTCATCGGGGTACGTTTAAAATAAATTTTTTAAGGTGAATCCCATTTAGGCCTATCCGAAGACTCGCAAGTTCATGGGATTTGATCGAATTTTCATTCACCCGACGTGCAGACACAATAATCTTCGTCTGCTCTTCCATTTCGCTCATTTTAATGTAAAGCGTGTTTTTGGAGTGATTGCGGAATAGAGATTGAGAACCTCGCATGTTGTTGGATTCATCAAGGCCCTGATTTTTCTCAACGGGACAAGAGGAAATTTATAAATTTCGGAAGATTTATTCTTCCCACGACTCTGTCTTTTTCGGTTTTCGGGATGGTGCTACATTATGATGATCGAAAGTAACAGTAATGATCTTTCTGTCCGGCGAAGTGGACATCCGGAGGGCCGAGAAATGATGAAAAAAATGGGGTTATTTCCTGCGTCTGGATAATTGAGACAGAAGTCAACATATGAAATCCAATTTTACTGCAAAAGATCCTTTTTGATTGAGAATTGTATAGCTACAATTTATAAAAAAAAAATGCGTTTGTAAATTCGATCTGGGGGTCTTTTTACTGCGGTATTATAATTACCCTGAGCGTTAATTTTAGTCGCAAATGTATCGCTACTTGAAAAGAAAGTGTATGAAAATTAAGCTATACCGTACTATTTTTTTCAGCATTGCTCTTTTTTCTTGATTGGATTTAGTGGCATTGCAGGTCTATGGAATTTACCAGCCTAGGAATAAGGATAAATTCTCCAGCTGATTTAATCCAGGAGTAATACTGTTGTTTTCACAAAGCTTCAAAAATTACGTTTTCTCTCGATGTTTGTTTCCGGAAATTCCCTTCAAAAATTTTCTGTCATAACATACTTCATTTTAACTTGGTTTAGAAGATGCCCATTCAATCATCCGTTTGAGTACATTACTGTACCAATGAGTCATCATAGTTTCTATCCGTTCGTTCGTGAAGTAAATTGAACTTTTAGAACTCGTGATGTTTTTTAATCTAATGAGGAAGGATAAATTCACTCTTCGAATTCACCAAGAGGATTGTTGACGCACTCCGCGGTCCTGATTAATCAATCTTCGCAGAAGGTCAACAATCGCAAATGAAAAGCAATTTTATTTCCTTTCTGTCACAATCACATCACATAGTGTGGGAATTGCTTCCGTTGGGTTTTTTGTTGTTGTTGTGAAAACCCGCTTTGATCGCAGCCGTGGCTGGGCACGTCCATGCGTGCAGGTATCAACGGAGGTTAAAAAAAATTGCATGTCACAGTACTTTTCATGAAGATCTCCAAGATGTAAAAGTAACACGGAAACGTAATCATAGCAGTTCGACAGTTCTAGGGATGTACAGTACAGTACAATATTTTAAAGATCCCCATGAAAGTATCAGTGTTGATGACTGATTTAGTTGGGTTAGTAACCTTGAATGCTCTTCAGGTACTGCATTGCGCAAGATTACCTCATGACCTGCGTGTTTCCAGAATGTTCAGGCAGTGATGAACAATCGAACATAAAAAAAAAAAATCAGCATCTGAGTGGAAGTGTCCCAGGTTTGACGATGTAGAAAATGTCTTCTTGGCTGGTTGTTTGAGGGACGATCTTCCTTAAATGTCGATTCTCTTTAGGCTTGCTGCGAGTTCTTTCATTGATTCTGCACTAGTTCAGATGATTTTTAATTAAAGCCTCTGATTTCTTGAGATCTCTGAATTTACGACACTGGCAACATTTTTCAACCATCTGACTTTTTTTTTCATTATACAGTGGGGCCCCGAAATGCGGACGTAATTGGTGCTTTGCCCTTGTCTGCATGTCAGATCAGGTTTTCCCGATGACTTTCATTGGAATATTTTTGATTGGTTATTCTGAAAATTATGAATAAGTCCCCCGGAAATTGAATAAAATAATTTGTTTTGCTTGAAAATATAGAAAATACCGACTCAAAATAAAACCACGCATCTGATGTGGCATGAAAATTAACCCATAAAAGCCCAAGTCGTCCTAAGCTGTGCTCAGATCATGGAAAGAGCTTTGCGATAATTAGCGCAAAATTGGCCTGTTTTGGATTATGAATTAGTGAATTTATAATATAACGAATTTTAATTTCACTAATACAAACTCAATTCGTTGAATAGATATCAACATTTTGAAAAATTCAAATGTTCCGTTTGTCCAGGAATGTTTGCAAATCGTCCTGAGTTCGCGGTGGATGTTTTTTAGTGATCCTGTGTCTTCAAGTCGACTTGTCCGCATGTTGGGTCCCACTGTAATTTCGACACTCCATTTTGGGATGCACTGAATTTGTTTCTTTACCGGCAAAACCGCATCTGTGGGTTGTTGGTTGCGTGTTGAAAGGCTCAAATGTTCGACAAGCGTGGGGTTGAAAAAGAGTATCCTATTTCTTCGCGATGCAGATGCAGAATATCGGTGAAGCGGATGATTTATGATTAAGTTGCTCAAGTGTCTTCTCGATTCCGAAGAAGAAACAAAAAAACGCGGAAATGTGTTTCAGCGTCTTGATCCTCCCTTCGCGTTTTTTTGTTAGTCGTGGTCATTCCATTAACAGAAAGTTTACCTGATCCATTTCCCCAGAGTTCCTTTGACCTGACCCCGGTCCTGCATTGTTTCAGATGAGATCAGCGTCCGCAGATTTCCTTTCCTGCTAATTGGTTTATTGTGTCTTGTGTGAATGTCCTGGATTGATGCGTTGAAGCCGTTGTCTTGAGTTTTTTTTTTTTTTTTTTTTGGGGTCTGATTGCGCATCGTTTGTTTGTCTTATCGGAAGGTTATCAGCATCAGGACTGGATAGTCCCATTCCCGGCTCTGAGTCCGGATGCCGGCTCTGATTTGAGCCCCGTGGTGATCAAGGAAACGTTGGACTATTTTCGTGAGTAGCTTTTATCTTGCTTTGATTGCAGTTTTTTGTGCAGCGATTGTTCATGAGATTTGTCAGGCCTGTGCTTCCCATGTCGGATTTTTTTCTTCTCGCTAATTCTCGATCATTTCTTGACGCATTTTCCGTTTTGCTCGAAGGGTTTAAATTGGTAGGAAACAACAACAAAAAAGTTGCAAGTGGGGCCTCGAGATGCGGACGTAATTAGTGCTTGGCCTTTGACCCTATGTCGGATCACGTCTTCCCGTTGACTTCAATGGGAATACTGTATATTGGTTCTTCTGTTCATCAAAAATTAGGAAGCAAGTCTTTGAAAATTGAATATTTTCTCTCAACTTCTCTCTGCGAAAGAAAACCACACAATAATTTTTTTGGCATTCGAAGGAGCTTACGAAGTAAAAAACAAGAACAAGTTTAGCTATACAGTACTGTGCATGGAATTATCTTGTTTTTGATTATCACTCAGTCAGATGTTCCTGAAAATTCCACTTGGTTTGCAAGATGTTTGACTGTATTTATCGGTTGTACATACAAGACAATTTTTCTTGGGCAACAACACAAAAGTCTACACGCTTGTATGGTGTCAGTTTCCTTCTTCGATTCATTGGTGGTTCGAGTGCCAAAATCTTCACAAATCACAGTGTTGATAAATCTATAGCCCGACCTTTTCAAGCAAGGGCATTTAACTTGAAAAGTCCCTGATGTCACTCTCCCTTTCTCGAAAATTACGTACCAAGCTTTCTCTACATGTTTCCGGTTTTTTTTTCTGTTCAGCTTGTTAATTCGTGTATTGGCTTTTGAGAAAATTATCCGATTATAATTCTGCAGAATTCGCCGTAGGGTTGCGAAACCATATTACGAGATACGAATATTTCGAGGTGTTGTCAAAGGAGAAGGCAACTTCAGCAATTTCATTCCATTTTTCCTTTAGCCAAAATGTCTAGCCGTCTCCCGATAATTGTGCTCTATAAAAAGGGTAATTTTAAACGCAATTCTCTCGAACGTAATGAGAGGAGTAATTGCGTGTGAAGTTCCGCATAGAAGTAGGAATACTTTGCTTAATTGCACAAGAAATAAGATTTAGAGATTATTTTATGGCATGCCACTTTTCAGCATGAGTTTCTAGCAGATTAATGTATGACATTGAATTATCGGTCGATGAGTGTTTCCATTTGAATTGTATTTGAGGCAGGCTTTTTTATTTTCGTAAGATTCTGATGTGAATCGTTTTAATGAGTGTAATCGCGAGTTTTCCGTCAAAACGTCGTTGATTCCCTAAAATGATGAAGGCGAGAAGTTGTGGTGATGAATTCAAGCTGCTTTGTTGCGGTTGGACGGGTTATTTTCCTCCGAACTTTCTGCGCGGGGAAAATCACAGTAACATGTATGAAACATAAATGATCCTACATCCCAATACAGTTCATTTATTTTTATTCCCTCAATTTAAATACTTTCCTTCGTCAAGTTACTCATATTCCAGGCCTTGCCGTAATAGGCCCACTTATCTACCTTTGATGGAGTTTTTTTTTTTTATAGAATGAGATGTAGACTCGTGCGTGAAATGACGAGGTACATGGGAGAGCGAAATGATACTCGTGGATCGAACTGTTATTAAGGGAAATTCGCCCGCTGGTTTGTCAATATGCGGGAGGCGGGTATCTCTTGTTTCTATCTATATTTTTTCATCACGATTCTGGTGGCGATGAAGCGTAGTTGCCCGGGGGGGGGGGGGGGGGGATAACGTGGTTTTCGTCACACAAGCCCCCGAGGAAGTGGCCATTTGCCCCTGTGGCATCGCCACGTTGAGATTTCTTTGCGTGAATGTTGTTATTTTTTCCACGGAGAAGGATGTAATTTTGGTTAACCTTTCGGCAGCGTTATTGAAAGTAACCGACGTAATCCTTCTTTCGAGTGTCCGAAGTGACAGAAGTTGTGTCTCAAAGTTGGAATTTCTTCATTTTCCGGGGGGGGGGGGGGAAGCAACAACCTCAGTGGGGCTTTTTTTTTTAGTCACTCATAGCTTTACATAAGGCGCCGGAGAATACAGTACGTTGAAGCATTTTTTGTAAGGATAATAAATGTGCAGTGAAACTGCGGGACACTTTCTTTGCAGTGAATGCACATAAACTTGTTTATAAGTGCCTCATCAATACGATTTCAATTTGTCAGTGTTCAAGTACGGCAGCTGGACGGATGTCGGTAAAATTCACAGAACTGTTCATTCGTGGTAAAATATTGAGCTTTTCAGTAAAGCGTTCGATTTATGCTCGCAAAATTCTTACTGTGTAATTGAATCGAGTGTCCCGGAAGAAAGCGTATCACAACTTTAACAACTTTTTTCTCCGTTTTTTCTATGACGGAGATGAAAGTACTGTAGTTGCTTCCGCCTTTTAAAAAAATCTCAAAATTCTTTGTTTTATATTTTGAAAATGGACAGATTGTCGAGAGATTTCTTGTTGTGAATATTAGGAAGGTCTTCGATTAAAATATCGAAGTGCAATAATCAAAATGATCTGAAACCACTCAACGGTACATGATCTCATTGCGAATCCTGAAGCTCTGTTTCCATTGATGAACCATTTATTCCTTTCAATACCTGGCCAAGAAGTTTTTCTGAGATTTATTAATTTTTCTATTGTTGAAGCCGACGAAAATGTGAGAAAAAAATAAACTGAACTTTTCTAAAGGTTTAGCGTCGAAAAAAACGAGGGACTTACATTTTCCTGTAGATGCGATTGTGTTTGGATATTCTTGAAACATACGTGAGTTGCACTGTACATGACCGAGGTTTGTATGTGTGGGGGGAAGCAACAACCTCAGTGGGGCTTTTTTTTTTTAGTCACTCATAGCTTCACATAAGGCGCCAGAGAATACAGTACGTTGAAGCATTTTTTGTAAGGATAATAAATGTGCAGTGAAACTACGGGACACTTTCTTTGCAGTGAATGCACATAAACTTGTTTATAAGTGCCTCATCAATTCGATTTCAATTTGGCAGTGTTCAAGTACGGCAGCTGGACGGATGTCGGTAAAATTCACAGAACTGTTCATTCGTGGTAAAATATTGAGCTTTTCAGTAAAGCGTTCGATTTATGCTCGCAAAATTCTCACTGTGTAATTGAATCGAGTGTCCCGGAAGAAAGCGTATCACAACTTTAACAACTTTTTTCTCCGTTTTTTTCTATGACGGAGATGAAAGTACTGTAGTTGCTTCCGCCTTTAAAAAATCTCAAAATTCTTTGTTTTATATTTTGAAAACGGACAGATCGTCGAGAGATTTCATGTTGTGAATATTATGAATGTCTTCGATTAAAATATTGAAGTGCAATAATCAAAATGATCTGAAACCACTCAACGGTACATGATCTCATTGCGAATCCTGAAGCTCTGTTTCCATTTATGAACCATTTATTCCTTTCAATACCTGGCCAAGAAGTTTTTCTGAGATTTATTAATTTTTCTATTGTTGAAGCCGACGAAAATGTGAGAAAAAAATAAATATCTGGATTTGTTCATTCTGCATTGGGAACAAACGTGGATGAAAAAATTTCCTGAACTTTTCTAAAGGTTTAGCGTCGAAAAAAACGAGGGACTTACATTTTCCTGTAGATGCGATTGTGTTTGGATATTCTTGAAACATACGTGAGTTGCACTGTACATGACCGAGGTTTGTATGTGTAAGCGTTTTCTTTCAGAATACTGTACTGTATTGCCCGGGAGTGAAGAGTCGGGTTTCGGGTGAAGATAGGTTTGTTTGGATTCCAATAATACAGTACTTTCCTTAGGAATTGGGCAAAACTTGTATCTCCAGTGTACTTGTTGAAGAGGTTCTAGAAAATCTGCTTCATGAAGGATGATTCAAAATAAATGCTGAATTTGAATATTGCATTTGATTGAAGAGGCCTGCGCTGCATACGAAACCCAAACTACCCCTTCTTTAGAGCTCGCTCCATGTACAGTATTGTTTTATGCTGATTTTATCTTACAGTATTAAGTTTCTATGCTGGTGCTAGAAACTGGTAAATTATTTGTGATATCTTTTTCACTGAAAGACACCTCTTTGCATCTGAAGAAAAACTCAATTCCGCTGGGAATTCCATTAACCGAAGCTTACCTGAGTTTTTCATTACTACGGGATAACCGTTCATACAACGTTTATGAATCATATTACTCCACTGTATTGAAAAATGGGGAGCCTAGTGGATATTAAATTTCCGGATTTGTCGGTTTCAGGTGTTCATGAGTGGCTAGATGTTTACTGGGATCTGGTTTTTAGTGCTGTCAGCTGAAGTGAACGCTTGGATAGATTGAACGTGAATGAAAGTGTTCAAACCGCAGAGTTTACTTCCTAGGGAACACTTGTGGTTACGTTTCATCTCGTGGATGGCGCTAAGACGAGCGAACGGAAAAGTTGTGGTATTGTAAAGTTCTCATTTTTATTTTCAAACTGTGAAATTTCCTTCCGGAGTGAAGTGGAGATGATTTTCTGTGTGCTGATGAGTTTGGACTAGGGAATCACGAGAGGTCTTTTTTCATGTTTTCTTTCATCTTATCTTTCAATTTTTCACTGAAAGACACCTCTTTGCATCTGAAGAAAAACTCAATTCCGCTGGGAATTCCATTAACCGAAGCTTACCTGAGTTTTTCATTACTACGGGATAACCGTTCATACAACGTTTATGAATCATCTTACTCCACTGTATTAAAAAATGGGGAGCCTAGTGGATATTAAATTTCCGGATTTTTCGGTTTCAGGTGTTCATGAGTGGCTAGATGTTTACTGGTATCTGGTTTTTAGTGCTGTCAGCTGAAGTGAATGCTTTGATAGATTGAACGTGAATGAAAGTGTTCAAACCGCAGAGTTTACTTCCTAGGGAACACTTGTGGTTACGTTTCATCTCGTGGATAGCGCTAAGACGAGCGAACGGAAAAGTTGTGGTATTGTAAAGTTCAAAAATAAAAGTTTGACACTTTAAAGGAAGGCCTCACTTCAC